TTCGCACAGACATTGAAGAGGAGTGGACCAACACTCCACAGGCCACAATCAACAACCTGATCAACTCTATGCAAAGGAGATGTGTTGCACTGCGTGAGGCAAATGGTGGTCACACCAGATACTGACTGGTTTCTGGACCCCCCGGATCCCCCCAATACAGTGAAACTGCACATTTTCCAGTGGCCTTTTATTGTGGCCAGCCTAAGACACACCTGTGCAAAACCCATGCTGTCTGATCAGCATCTTGATATGCTACACCTGTGAGTTGGATGGATTATCTCAGCAAAGGAGAAGTGTTCACTAACACAGATTTTGACAGATTCGTGATTAATATTTGAGAGAAATAGGCCTTTTGTGTTGATAGAGAAAGTCTTTAGAACTTTGAGTTCAAATCATGATGAATGGGGGCAAAAACAAAAGTGTTGCATTTATATTATATATTATTTTGTTCAGTGCAGTTTCAGATGATCAGTAAACCGAGATAATAATTTGCAGATTTAAAAATCATAAGTTGCAACCCTAGTGCGCATAGAATCACATGATACGTGAATAAAATTTTTTTAAAAGTTAGGGGAGCCGCTGAATACAAAAAAGTTAATAAAATTTAGATCCTAAATATGTGCACTACTACAGAGTTCACAAGCTTGGGTAGCATACCCATCCTTGTTTCAACCAGAATAGCTACAGACCTTTTTTGTGTTCTTCATGCGATTACAAGCCTGTATTTGTGCACATATGGTATTCATGGATTCCTGAGCACATTAAACAAAGCATCCAAATAACAGTTTCTTCAGACCTGAAGAGTTTGAACTGAATTTAACAGGATGTCAAGCTTGATGCATTTGTATCTTGAACCCATCAAGCATGCAGTGTTTACATGCGATATTAATAACACAAATTACCCCGCCAAAAAAACTGAACTGAACCTTCGTTTCCCAAAAATGTCGCTGATGATGTTTTGAAAGTTAACATAAGTCAAAGTTGACCTTCAAAACATAAACATCTTGAAGGAAACTTCAAGGATGTGGGGTGCTTATTACAAAAAAAAAACAAACAAAAAACAGAGTGCATCTTTAAAATATGACTTTTTAAATGAACTTACTACCAGAAAAGATCCATTGCACACCAGCATTTACTAACAACCTTTAGACTCTTGATTAGGCTTCTTCATTAAGAGCTAGCCAGCTATGATCTGCTCACAACTTGTCATAAATTTGTACGGTCATCAAAAATATGTAAAAATATGTGGAATTATGCAACATAGTCAAGCACCCTCAGACAAACTCTGACATGCAGGCGGTCCTCTAAAGTGCTTTCAAACTAAAATTTGACCATCACTGGACTTCATTCATTCACCTTTAAATGATAAACTGACATGCAGCCAGTCCCTTTAGCCGCTTTCTTTCCCTCCTGAAATATGGACACACAACATTTACTTCAGCGTACAAACCAAAGTAGAACCATATGGATTGTTCTGGTTGTACCTCATCTCACACAGCATGGTGATTAATTAAGGAAATACTGAGCTTGCAGAGTGAAGTCCAGCAGATATATTGGTCCAACTGGTTCTAGTTCAAAACCACAGCAGCATCAGTGCTACCACTGCCAGTTTCTCACAGCTCAGAGTGTTTACCAAAGACTATTTGTTTGGAGAGAGTTCCTGTAACTCCACCCTGACAGGGTTGTTTGCGGAGTTACACCATGCAAATGAAAAATAGAGACTGGCAGAGATAATTCTACTCTCAAAACCTAAGCTCACTATTAAATATTAGTTAAATCACAGGAAGGTATCAAAACAAGAACAACCTTAAATATACACCCCTACGTTTTGCTAAATATAATAAATGAAGGCTAAGTGATCATTATCTGACTGAGCAGTATGATGTTATGAGAACATCTTGTTTTAACTACTTCCTGTGTTAGCAGAACGTGTGGGCCAACTGTGCACACATCCTGTGTGAGGCTGTTGGTACGGAACATGTGACAAATGATTGACAACACCAGCAATGAGACTAAACCACTGAGTGCAAAGAATGAAATAAGCATTGGATGTATAAACCAATTTACTTACTATATGCAGCTGAGCCGTCTCAGTGATTATCTGCATTTGCATATAAATGGTTGTGGACCAACATGTGGATACCAAACAAGTGTTTCATACAGCATCCTTGCAAAAATTTATATTTGGGGATGATTTTCATCATTAATGAATCACTGCATTCAGGTTTCAAAAGATATAAGAGACAAGCAGAAAATCTTCACATTTGAGCTGCCATATTTGACATTTTTAGTTGATAATGATACATTTTGTTTTGATCTATTTAATAGGCTTGATCTATTTATTGACTCTAAATGAATAGGAAAATTGTTTAAGCATTTCACAATAATAGCAAAGTCTGTACAGCAAAATGTAAAACAACAGCCCTGCAATAAGTCCCAATGTCAGAAAGGTGATGATTAAATTTTCGTGTACATTTTGAGACTGTAATCAGTAGTGTTGTGTGAGATTTATTTATGATTTTAGTATAGAGATGTTTTTCTTATTTTGTCCATGTTATGTTGTCCATGGAGTTTTTGACCACCAGTGGTGCTATAGAGCAATGTTTTGGTAAGTGGTCCCCGTTTTTTAAAAATCTTGTGCTCAACTGGCACAAGCACAAACAGAAACACTGTTTGTTGACAAGAAAAGGCTCTTTTCAAAGATTACAATGACCTTTGGCTCAACCCGTTTACCATAAATTAGACTCAAACAGATATGCTGGAAATGTTTGTTTAGCTAAGATCCTGCTTTCTTTTTTTTTAATGTTTGTTCCCATCTCTGCACTACCTTGCGGTCCCAGGTCATGATCGCTGCAGGCTAATCCCAGATTAGCCTCCCAGCAGGATATGGGTTCAATCTCCTTTGATGTCTAGCCGAGTCAGACCGAGCCACAAACCTGTGCTGATCTTAAGCCTACGCTGGCTGCCACTGCCTACTAGTCAAACAACAGTGCACCTCCGCCTCTCAAAAATCAACTGTGACTTTTTTTTATGCAACGCTCATTTACAGCACCAGCTGTGTAAGAGGGATTACAGTGGATTTCCAAACTGTAGCCCCAACATCTTTTGTAAACTAAACTGTGGCCAGATTGTGGTATTCTCACCAAGCTATGACCTCTAAAGGGGGAATGGTGAGCTCCTGAGAGGCTTTGGTGAATTTTCTCACACTCAGACTGCGCATGCATGCACACACAGTGGCCTAAAGTGACTATGTTTAAAATATCTGTGGTGGTTATGGCGCTGGGGATAAGACACATGCCTTTGTGTGAGAGACCTGGGTTCAATTCCCCACTGTGACTCGTCCACCAATGTGTCCCTGAGCAAGACACTTAACCCCTAGTTGCTCCAGAGGTGTGCGACCTCTGACATACACTCACCTAAAGGATTATTAGGAACACCTGTTCAATTTCTCATTAATGCAATTATCTAATCAACCAATCACATGGCAGTTGCTTCAATGCATTTAGGGGTGTGGTCCTGGTCAAGACAATCTCCTGAACTCCAAACTGAATGTCAGAATGGGAAAGAAAGTTGATTTAAGCAATTTTGAGTGTGGCATGGCTGTTGGTGCCAGACAGGCCGGTCTGCTCAGTTACTGGGATTTTCACGCACAACCATTTCTAGGGTTTACAAAGAATGGTGTGAAAAGGGAAAAACATCCAGTATGCGGCAGTCCTGTGGGCGAAAATGCCTCGTTGATGCTAGAGGTCAGAGGAGAATGGGCCGACCGATTCAAGCTGATAGAAAAGCAACTTTGACTGAAATAACCACTCGTTACAACCGAGGTATGCAGCAAAGCATTTGTGAAGCCACAACACGCACAACCTTGAGGCGGATGGGCTACAACAGCAGAAGACCCCACCGGGTACCACTCATCTCCACTACAAATAGGAAAAAGAGGCTACAATTTGCAAGAGCTCACCAAAATTGGACAGTTGAAGACTGGAAAAATGTTGCCTGGTCTGATGAGTCTCGATTTCTGTTCAGACATTCAGATGGTAGAGTCAGAATTTGGCGTAAACAGAATGAGAACATGGATCCATCATGCCTTGTTACCACTGTGCAGGCTGGTGGTGGTGGTGTAATGGTGTGGGGGATGTTTTCTTGGCACACTTTAGGCCCCTTAGTGCCAATTGGGCATCGTTTAAATGCCACGGCCTACCTGAGCATTGTTTCTGACCATGTCCATCCCTTTATGGCCACCATGTACCCATCCTCTGATGGCTACTTCCAGCAGGATAATGCACCATGTCACAAAGCTCCAATCATTTCAAATTGGTTTCTTGAACATGACAATGAGTTCACTGTACTAAAATGGCCCCCACAGTCACCAGATCTCAACCCAATAGAGCATCTTTGGGATGTGGTGGAACGGGAGCTTCGTGCCCTGGATGTGCATCCCACAAATCTCCATCAACTTCAAGATGCTATCCTGTCAATATGGGCCAACATTTCTAAAGAATGCTTTCAGCACCTTGTTGAATCAATGCCACGTAGAATTAAGGCAGTTCTGAAGGCGAAAGGGGGTCAAACACAGTATTAGAGTATGTTGTTCCTAATAATCCTTTAGGTGAGTGTATATAGCAATTGTAAGTCGCTTTGGATAAATGAATAAATGTAAATATGCTCATGGCACACATACATCTGTCCCTAATCAAAAACTGTTTGGACCTCTTCAGAGAGAGATGGAGGGGATGTGGTGAAGCTGACAAACAAGGCACAATGTTGGCACAGTGGAAGAATTACTCTTTAAAGGTTAAAATACCCAGCTGTGATATAAACGCAGAATCCAGCTCAACTGCAAAGGAAAAAACCCTGTAGACTATCCATACTGAGACGCAGACAAAGGCTGTAGGCCTGAGATGTGTTTTTTCTAACATGATTCACTGTCTTTTTTCAAAACCGTCTGAGATTTAAACTAGCAATCTTTCATAAATTCTAACATCACAGTCCAAAATTTTTATTCAATGTTTTATACAGATGGAAATGATATCAACAGACATCACAAGAGAACTGCAAAGAAACAGATGTACCATTTTGGGTTGTTTTTTACTCATATTCCCCCTCCAGAGTTCTCAATTTAAGTTTAAAATGTGAACATATTTAACACTTTTATATTCTATCAGCTTTGTTTTGTACAATGTAGTAATTTACAGTTTTATATGAATGTTCGTGCTGTCATTTAGATCATGTTACTAAATGCTGGTGTCTTTGCTCATCATGATTTTTCCTTCATTTGTTTGGAGTTTGTAATTACATGTCGGGTTTCTCCTCTTATTGTGGTTTTATGGAGTTTTATTGCATTTATACAAAAAAAACTTGCTTTGTCAGCAAACAAAAGCCGTATCGAGATTATTAGCTCACAAGAATTTGGAAGAACATTTAATAGGAGGATCTTGGGCGCCAGTCTAAATAAAGCACAAGAAGAAGTTGATCATCTACTGTAAAATCAAGATCTATATCAACTTGACATCATTTCAGAAACTTCTGCATATTGTCAACATTTTGCCGGTTTATGCTGTTGTTGAATTAGCTTCCCAAAAGGGCACAAACTAGATAAGCAGCACTGACTTGGTTGAGGTGTTGAGGGATGAAGCTCAAGCGGACTGGACGTTTTTTGGACTCCATGCTGGTTCTCGTGGAGGGATGTAGTCTTCGGAAAGCTTTTTTGGCGTCGCCAGCATTTCAACACGAGCACTTACTGTGGCTCTCCTCGCTGCTCTTGAAACCTTATTTAGAGGAAAATTAGTGTTGAAAGGGCTCCTAGGAGAAAAATCAGAGCCTTTTTGTCCATCATTAAGTTTTTCATTTTTTAAAACAAGAGCCAGACTGCAAAACCACAGATCATGAGGACAGATGCAATAGAAATCTGGCAATTGCATGTAAGCAGAGGATGCACTGAATAGGCATTGGGCTGATGAGACTGATTGGAAAATTCCACAATGAATTGAAAGAACCATTCATTATGTGAAAACAAATCTACGGTCCATGACAGAGAGCTGATTCAAACAGCTGGAGAATTTTTTAATTGACCGTGTGGTGTCAAGCATACAGCCAAGCAAAAAACTGTTCTTGCTTTGTTTCGATGTTTGTTTCATCCAAGACTGTTTTGAAAGAATGGTAAACACAAACTACTGAACTCTATTGTTATTTCATTGGCATCACAAAAATCTGAGAATGCTGACAGAATTCAAAATGAAATGCTCCAATAAATAATTAAATGATAGGTCACTAGGCACTCTTACAGTCCAGATTGATTCCTCCGGCCGGCCGAGCTCACTGCAGATGTTGCTCTCCTTCAGCTTGGGCAGTGACAGCTGGGCCAGTCGCTGAGAGATTCGAGCCGTCTTGGAAGCAAAGGAAACGATGGATGCAACACTCTGTGGTACACAAACAGACGGAGGAAAAAATACTTAATAAACTTGGTTATGATCTAACAAGGTAACATAGTAACAACCATCAGTTGAAGAAAAACTGGCTGAAGAAGGTCTGTGTTTGTTTTGATTTGCTCTGCTGTGTCAAATTTCAATTGGTCATCATTCCTTACATTTATGACCAAATGCATATTACAATTAAAAGTGATAAAATCTCTGTCACTAATAATGTAATTTCATATCATAGTATCAACATGTACTGCCTCATAATAATATTTTCTGGTAATTAAATATTTTATAGTTTATATAATTAAAATCAGCTAATCCTGTGATTTAAATAAATACATGACAATGAAGGCACTTTATTTTATCAATGGATTTGCAGGATTGCATTGCAACGTTCTAATACAATCAGATATATTAAAAGAAAGGGTACTTTGGCGTCTCAAAATCTCTGACGGCTGACATATTTCCGGTGTCTTACAGTATATCATCATGTTGCCATATTACTCTTCAACGCCAGTAGACTGTGAGGATTTTGATAACACAAGAACGCTTGAAGATTCTGTATTAAGGTCTACTTAAAATCCATCTAATCAGTTAGATAGTTAATGCAGGTGCAACTTGTCAGCTGACATCAGTTAACATTTCCTGTGGGATTTCTCTGTGTGTAACGGTGTTAGGATCTTACCTCTCTGTTGCTTTGGAAGTCTGGATGGTTCTGTTTGGGGTTGGAGAGCTGCAGCAGTCTAAATGTGATCACTGCAGTTATACCTTTGGGATCAACGTGCCAAACAGGACAGTTATTCTCACACTGGGATGTGTGAGGAGGCCTGTGGGACCAGCAGGAAAACCGTTATCTATATATACTGCTACAAATAAATGTGAGAAGTCAAGTGGTTTCTCAATAAGCTGAATGAATGACTTCTCTCATGATATTATGACTTTTTCTCTTTTATAACTTTGTCCTCAAAATCTCAATTTTTCTAATGTCTGTGTTTAACATCCTAAACTTAAGGCCCACATAATAATCCTGGAGCTTTCAACTGAATCACACAGACAGAAAGAGAAAGCCCAGTAGAAAGTAGACCTTACATGTAGAATATGATGAGGTGTCCTTCTGGCATAGCGGTTAAGATGAAATGAAATTGCAAGGTCCTTGCTTTGGTTTCTTACATGTCATACCCATCTCTCCCACTATCTAATTAAGGCGGCCCAAAGGTTGAGAATGATGATGATATAGAGAATATGAGAATGACATTTGACAAAACATAAAGGACTTCAAAACCTAGATGACGCCAAATAAAAGATGTATTTTCATAAAAAATGTAACTAAATATGTCAGCTAAAACTCTCTGTAACAGAGCCCTTGACATTTGAAGGATGCACCTCATCTGCGCCCAATGATGACTATAACACATAACAGCGGGCTGTTTGAGTATATTATTTGACTTTATACATATTATTCCCTATATAACAAGTGACTAATTAGTAAAGATAAATATTATTAGCAAGCCATAAAATAGTTGCAGAAACTTTCACTAGAGTAATCATTTTGTCAAGGAAGGACTTTGATTCCACGTGGACACGTGTATTTAATTTCAGAAAGAAAAGTTTTAGACTTTCTGCCATGTGGCTTGTGCTGCGTTGTGTTTTGTCTTGTTTATTAATTTATTTTGCTTTTTTTTTGTTTTGTTTTTTTGGGGCGACAAGATTAGAGGATTAAGTTTCGACTGCGGGGGATTATTATTATTTTTTGGGTGCAGGGCATTAAAAACAGCAATCAATGTTATGTCTACTATTTAAATCCCAAAAGCAAATGTAAATTTTGTGTATTGAATTCAGAATGTAAACCCTGTATGAATCTCTCTTCATGTCCTGCAGCATGTTCTGCTGCTGTGTTCAGGATTTATAAAAAGACTTCCGCGGCTGTCTGCGAGCGTCCCAGGGGTCCTGGACTTTGGACAATAAGCTCTATTGTCTCCGCTCCTCGCTCTCCCACAGTCAGACACTGAAATAACAGATGTCTAAATGTTGGCTTCCTCACACAGCGTAGAGGACGTTAGTGTTGGAACAGAGCCTCTGCTTGGCCTTCTCATATTTAACTATATGATACGTTATATTCTGCTGCGATTAAATTCCAGACTTTGGTTTGTACATGAGCGGGAATAAAAGCTTTGGAGTGTTGAGTCACAAATCTGCTAAAAAATTACATGGAGGTCCAATGGATGGAGCTGGATGTGGAAATGATCTCTAAAACAGATACCTCAAAGAGTGGAGTCGGTGTGTTTAATATTTTATATAATCAGTTTACAATGATATAAAACAGGGAAAAGCAGAAAATCCTCACATTTGAGAAGACAGAACCGATAAATTGATCAAGGATTTTTGCTTGATAAATAACTTAAAACCAATGTTTGCCAAGGTTTTTGGCTTGTAACCCCTTAAAAAGTAAGAAATGTCTACTTGTGAGCACTCATCAAAAGGTTATAGCTGCGGTATGAGCAGTCACCAAAGAATGTTTTTCCTCCTCAGATTGTTTCCTTCGAATGATTTCTTCGCCTGCGGTGGTGAAAGTAATCAGTACTTCCCAAGAAAAAAGCAGAAATTATACAACAGTGAGAAGACTATGGTCATTATTTTGAGTAACGGAAAAAATTTAGTTTTTTTAAAGTCCTTTAATCATCTTGTGACCCCCTCATATTTAGGTTGGAGCCCCCTTGTGAGTTCCGCCACGATGATTGGAAACCACCGTCTTGAACGAACAATCGATTCTCAAAATTTACAATTGTCTGACAAATAACTAATCACCTAATCCTTTCTGTGATTTTTACAGCTTTACATGTAATAAGTGGTGAGAAAAGTGTTTAAAATAATGCACACTGACAAGCTAATATCTCATCTTACAAAATCGCAACCAGATACGGAATTACGTAGACGGCAGCCGACAATTGATCTGCTGATGAAAAGATGCCAATTTCAAAACATGGTTAAAAGATGTTTGCAACAGCATTTAGTCAATTTCAATATGAAGTACATTCTAACTGTACTTTGAAATACCCACTGAAATGAAGTTAATACAATGGTTATGGGACACCCCTGTGGCTTAGGGGATACAAACAAACAATGGTTACATATAACGTCCATGGCAAAAGGCCCAGTTCTATGTAATCCATGCATCTACTGTAGAGGTCTTTTAACCTACAAATGTATACTTCTAACATAACTTTACCATGTAGAAGACAGTGTAGATCAGAATTGACCTACAATATGTCCCTATTTGTATGTTTATTTGTCTATTTTTAAAAACAGATTTATGATGACTGCTGCAATAATAGTGAGTGAATGTATTATTTCACTAATGATTTCCAAAGAAAACCATTGCTTACTGAGCTCCAAAGCTGAGACTATGGGCTTTCAAATATCACTAAACCTCAGAACACTCATTTGACCTGGGTCTGTTTGGTTGAGCTCCACTTGTTCTCACTTTACTAGTTGCGTTTGATGTCTAATGAGGCTTTTACCCTGCTTCCTGGGAGCTGCAGCTCCTGGTTTTAGGTGTTGACAAGCGGACAATGTGTTCGTACTGGGATGTCCTGGAGGAACGACGCTGGGTCTTCCTGAAGAAGCTCGCCTCCTCCTCCTTCCTGCAGGAAAATGGAAGCTATTACTGCATCCATTATATGTTGTGTTTTGTGTTGTGCGTCTGGGACAAAAGAATGTCTTGAGCCAGGAGAAAGGAGGAGGAGGGGGGGATGCAGAACAATGGTCAAAGCGTCAGTGCGTGGCTGATGACGGTGGTACAAGTGGAAAATCATCTGCACCCACATAAACCATTTAAGTTCGTTAAACACTTAGATGACACATAACCAAGGTCAAATGGTCCCTGCTGACATTTTCATTTTGACTCATAGTTTTGCTCTTAAAGCAAATATGTAGTCAAATGTATCGTCTCTGCAAAATCATTTCTCACAACTGTAAAAGATGATGCTGGTGTTATTTTATATTTTTCTTATTGTCAACAAATGCCATAAAAAACATCATCTATAAATTGATCCTACTAATAAGTATTGTCTCTGGTTTGTTTTGACACAATTCCACGGAAAATAGTTCCCAACAAATGCACTATTTACTCTTGTCTGAGTAACGTTTGCTTAAAGTGTGCAGCAGTGTTAGGAAATTTTAACATTAACATTTTGTTGCATTTTGCATCTTCCCTAAGAACAGTGAACTTGGGGCTGAGAGAAAAGCAGCAGATTCTCACATTTGGGAATATAAAAATCTCAAATATTTCCCATTTCTGCTTTTGCTTGACTTTAAAGGTTAATCAATTATCAAAATAGTAGAATATTTTCTGTCAATTGACATATTAGGCACTACTTTTTTTCCTGGCATTTTTGCCTTTATTGATGGTTACAACTGAAGAGAGAAATAGGAAAAAGAGAGGGAGGGGATGACAAGGAACCCAGGCCACTGCGGTAAGTACTCAGCCTCAATGTTACTCTCTATTGGGGAGCCCTGAATCTGCAAACACTTGACTAATTGATTCAATAATTAATAATCGATTGTAATTTTTTTTTTTAAATGACAAACATTCACTGTTTCCAGCGTCTCAATTGTGAGGATGTTCTGCTTGTCTCTGTTTTACACCATTTGGGTGTCTGGCATAAACAACAATTGATACTATAATAATAATAATTGTGATATTGTGTTAAAAAAACAACAACTAGTGGAGCAGGGCCAGACAGTCTGCCAGATAATCAGATTAGAAATGAACAAAATGGACTTCTTGCCTGCGGAGTGATGTGATTAGATGTGGAACAGAAGTATTCATCACAATCCAAGTTTAATATTCAATTAATCTATGCAAATCAAGCCAATATGTGCATACTGTATGTATTCATCAACAGCTCTTCCATGAATCTCTGATGAACATCCTGCTTCAACCCAAAGCAGCAGGTGACTGCGGTCATCTTCAATTACAGTAAATTGTTCTTATTTGTTCTGGGAGCTGCACTTCCTGTGTGGGCTCCTGATTGAATTTCACTGCATATTACTGCGCTTTTAATCTGACAGCTGAGGCGGGGATACAGCCAAACAACATACAAAATAAAAGCCTCTGGAGCTGAACAACCATCACAGCTTCTCGTCCACTAATTGAGCCTGACAGCTCTCAGGGGCGATCACCTCTGATCGGGATGCAACTGGCATCAGTCCTGAACATCACTTTGCAGTTTGCATTTCCTGAATCAACTCTGTGCCAAAGAGCATCAAGTCATTACCCGTCAGCTTTGCAAACATTTTCTCAAATCTGTAGATGCAGCACAACATGAAAAGCTTCCTTACAGTCCTCTGGAGCATGAACACAAACACCCCTCCCTCTCGTGCCTTTTTCATAGACTCATCAATAATGTTTGGGGTGCAGACAGGCTACAGTTACCTCCGGTGGTCCTCCCTTGCTGAGAAGTCTCTTTTGTGCCTGGCTAGGTATTGGATTCTTGCACTTGGAACGGCTCCGAGCGCTGAAGCGGAGACGGGCCATATTGGCTCCTGGTTGCCCCAGCTCAGCTTCTCACTGATCAATGAAAAGATGACAAGTTTCCAATAAGGAGCTGCGATGATGTAAATGTTGGTGTAGAAGCAGAATAAATATTTTCCAAGCAGGCGATTACTAAATGAAAGAATGATACCTCAACTCAAATGTGACCTTTGTTCATGTTTCCATTGTTTTGCCCTTTCAACCACACGTTCAAAGTGTGCCAGACATCTGTGTTTAATTGTGCAGTTTAGAGAAATTGCACTCAAGGAAGGAAACACTGACCACAGAGGCTCCTGGATTCTTGGAGTCAGTTTCACACTAGATCAATGAACAAACATGCAATTTCATATGATGTAACAGCTGGAACAGAACATGTCCTGCAATGCTGAAAATGTTTTCAGACTGTAAATATGTAATAAGCAGAGGCCACTCTGATACTTTCAGAAAAGTTGTGTTTGTTTTCATGCATGTAAGAAAGAATCTTTTAATTTTAACATTTTAATCAAGAGGAAAAATGTTGCATGACTCACCAAGGAGTCGTCGCCCAAACAGTTTTTGAGGTTTTGTGCTGTGCCAGAACCAAGATTCTGCCCAGAAAACACAACATAACACAAATCATCATTAAATAAGAATGCAATTCAGAGACTTTGGACCCAGAGGGGAACATGCAATATTTTGTGGGTTTCGGGACTCTGATGAGGGTTTTCTTCTTTCTGGCAGAGCTGTGATGTCCAAAAACTGGACTTACTCTTCAGTCAAAAAGTTGGCTTCAGACTCTAAACCTCATTGTGACCACCAAACAAACTCAAAAGACAAAACTGTTAAGATTTATCAGTGGGGCATACATTTTGAACTTACTGAAGGAGAAAAAAGGAGAAGTTTTGCAGGAAATTTGTCTATTATTGTACAGTATTGTCAACAATCATAACTTCTCCTATGAAGACATATTTTATATAATTACAACTGTGTTATACTATAGTGTCATTAATCATGTTTATCTACCAGCATCCAGTTATGGATGCTTCACAAGAAGAGTTAAAGATGTTGACATTACATAAAATACTTAAAACAATAAAATACCATATATCAGCTTACAACTACATAATGTGCTTTTAACAGCCTATTCAACATTTATATACTGCTTGTAATGCTAAATAGAGGGGTTAAAATAAACTTTTACCAAAAAAAGGTAAGAAACCGAAAGTAAGTGAAATTTTCTTTTTGGCTATTTCAACCGTTAATTCATTAGTTTTAACTATAACTAACTAGGCCTGTATGTGTATAGTGTTATATATACACACACACACACACTTCAGTAAATACAATTAAATATATAAATGTGACAAGTAAATAAACAAATGAAGCACACAAGCACACTTATTTATAACAAACTTATTGAGACGAGTGAACCTTTAGATGTAAGCCACGGTAGCTGGATATGAAAAAGTAAGGCATTAATAAAAATTATGTTACTTCACCTGTCAGAGGGACCAAATCTGGACTGAATCCCTGCAAGAATCAACAACAGGAGAAATTAGGACTTAAAATACATATTTGAAGACTGTGTTGCAGATAAAAATTAGTATGTTTACCTTGTTTTCCAGACACCATCTCAACATGCAGCACAAGCAGCAGGCTGGATGTGTCGGCGTGCTGTCTGTTGATGGTGTCACACTAATCTCCTGCTGTTGTTACAGAGCCAGGAGTCCTTAGCTACCAACTCCACACCTGAGGACTCCTTGAAACTGGAGTCTGCACACTGAACCCATCCATCTTACTGTCTCAAGTCTTCCGAGGCAGGACGTTAAAAAGAAACTGATACGTTGAGGTCAGCGGTGAGAGCGGCTGCTGCAGTATTTCTGGAGAGCCGCCGTGTGTTTGGATCAGTTTCCAGATATGAAATTACTTTGATGGCCTGATGACATATTAACCAGCAGCTATGTTAGGACAAGGCTTTTTGAGGAGTCTGTCTGCATTCCCAAATAATCGGTTATTATTTTTATACCCATAAGGGTGTCCTGATGGAGAGAGAGACTGTCCTGCCTGTGGAAGGGCATAAGTTACATTCTCGCAATCACAATGAGCACAACAAGTCACACCAATCAATTTAGTGGAAACAGTTTATTTAAGTTTGAAAACAAACAAACAAAAAACCTGTATATGATATTATATCAAACTGGCAAGAATCTGTACTGTGTACAATGTAGGACATGTTTCGATATTGACACTTTGGATGACAATTCTTTTTAATGTGCTTTTTGAAACCTTACATTCCTCAAAATTGGTCAATAATGTAGTTCACCTTCATCCCGAAGTTAACAGACAGAGAATTTACCAAATTTACTGATTTATCCGAATATTAAGACAAAACAACAAGGAGCAAGACATGTCCAAAAGACATCTGGAAAAATCTAAATCTTGTTTATTTTCCCTTTTTAAGACTTCCTTTTTAAGAGATAAATAATGTAAATTTCCTTTTTAAGATAAGGACAAAACACTTATCAAAGTTTGTAACAATAAACCTGTGTCATGAAAGTAACAATGTCTTTAAAGCTGTAATCCAACAATAACATTTCTGCAGTAAGAAAGTTATTGTATAGTGTTAAGCTTTGGTGACTAGGTGATCATTCAATATTAAATTGGATCATTCGGCAACTGTTTTATTTATACATTAAACAGTTGTGGTGTCCTATTGAAATGCTGCTTATTTCAATCACTTAAAATATTAACGGCACATCAGAAAGCTTGTCAACAGGTCCCACAAGTTTAAGGCCTCTTTCTTCTTAAAGCTGTTTTAGTCAAGATTGCTTGTTGGCGGCCCCAAATGGCAAAAAGAGGTCACTGTTTGAGAAATAAAGATTTAAACCCCAAGCAATCATATAAGGGATGGGAGCCTCACTTACTCTGAGTTGATCTGATGGATATATTTTCTTATGAAAACCTTGCCGAGTACAGCTTTAAGTCTCCCTGTCGAGGTATTAAATATTCTTTGGATCATGACACATGAAGAAAATTATGATCCAGTCTAAATGACAAAACTCCATTACAGCCAACAGTGCTTTTCATTTTTGTTTGCCTGCACAACAAGCTGTGTGTGACGCTTAACAGAGTGTTATCTCATCGCTGGTGATAAAGCTGCTCCCAGCAGCTACACAGATGGCCTGAGTGAATCTTCAGGCTGAAATAAATCCACTCTGGTTTTGTACCATCTGACTATCTGCAATAAAACCTGAAGGCAGGACCTGAACTGCTTCGTGTACCATCATCACAAAGTAACCAGAAACAGCCTTGTAAAGTGAAACATTTAAGGCTCAATTGATGAAACTCATCATCGGCTTGGATGAAATGAAAAGAAATCTTTGGTGAAGAAGATAAACTAATAAAAAAACAACAACAAATAAGTTTAAATGTTCTCATAAATAAATTAGAGTTTCAGCCAACCTGTTGTAGTGAAACTGTTTAGTGAAAAGGTGCAAAGAACGGATTCAGTTTGATCAAAAATACACAGGACTACGTGACAGCCACCAACTTGACCGTGAGCGTTTTATCTACTGTCACAAACCATTTGGATGATCAGGTCTTGAGCATCCTGAACACCTGAGCTGAGCTCTGCCTCTCCCTGCTTCACATGGGTGCTGATGAGGAACAACCTGCGGTCTCCGACCTCGGACAGAGACAGAGCGTCGTGGAGGTCAGTAATGCTGCAAGCTCCTGGAAGGTCCTGGAAACACGAGCCAAACAAGAGATATCAAAACAGCGAGGAAACTAACTTATTTAAACTAAACGTATTTTCAGATTAGGTAAATAAAGCATCATCTTTTCCTTTCTTTCAATCTTGGGACTCCAAAAGCCTGCTCATTTTTGTCTGAATTTAAGGTTTTCCTACAGTCCACAAAGATTCATTATCAGCCTTTTGTTGGATTAAAAGGCAGAAATAGATGTTGAGTTGATTCATGTTCAGAATCTGTACCTATAAGATCAAAATATTAATATTTTGATCAAATATTTTCCTGCTGAATCAGAAGGTGATTTCACACAATAAACAGAAAAAGAAAAGAAAAAAACAAAATGAGAAGCTAAATGGACTGGCTATGAGTTTAAATATTAATGTATGTTATTTTTATATAATTGTATTGCTATTTTAGTGCTGCAACTAACATTTCATTACCAACGCATCTGCAGATTATTTTCTCACAAGTACTGCAAAAGCCAAGAATCATAAATATAAATGTGTGAATTCTGGTTATTTTTGTAAGTTCTGATAACACGTGGGTGAGCGTATGTTTTCATATCATATATTTCATTTAATTTGATAGGAGTAACCTTGTAAAAACTAAACAGAATTTCCTTATGATAATAGTGTAATAAAACATACAGACCTCAGACAGAAAACTTCAAATAATCTGATTTTGTAGTCGAACATTTTTTGTGCAACAAATACAAGATAACTTTTAAACTAACCTGTGTGCAATGTAACTTTTGTTGGGTTTTTTTTGCACTGCTCACATGACAACTCAGGACGTTTTCTTTACCAGTCACAACTTAAATACTAAAACGCAACATAAACTACAAACATTTTTGACTATAAAGATTACAAGTACATTCACATGCTCTATGTATGTATGGAAATAAATCCTCTATATGGATAATTTTTATGAGGTTTTAGCACGTCAGTTTTTTTTATGTTATGACATTAAAATTAGACATTCCTTGTGAAAATCTGTGCAGTCCTCGTGGCGGTTCTGGCAATCTGGCTGTACTTTAAAATCCTACAAATAGTGACTTTCAGTAATTAGATAAATTAGTTTGCAAACATTTGTTTTGGCATCACTAAAAACTTACTTTAATTGTTAGTAGTCTGGTGTACGGTGTAGTGGAAGTGAAACGCGAGCCATTACGTGGCCTGCGTTGACAGCTGGATTGAAAACAGGAGCAAATCTGTTCCATCACACGCATGAGACGAACATCTGAAAATCCTCCTCTTATGTAGAAACGCCGTCACTCTTTGTATATAACAGATGTCATTAATTTGGGAGTGATAGCAGATTACAGTCTAGTGTTTTAAATTGTGGTCGTGATGCTATGACTTACATTTGGATCACCGATTAATTCACACTTTCTGTAAAAAATTCTGAACTGAAACAATGAAATCCTATCAAAACACTGGACCACAAACGATTAGTCAATTAATCAATTGACAAAAAATTGGCGATAAACGATTAATAATTAAGTTATTTTAAGCAGAAATGTTAACAATTTACTGGTTACACCCTCTGTTCTGGTTCCAAATGTGAATTATTTCTGGTTTTCTTAGTATTCTCTAACAACAAACTGAAAAAATTTGGGTTATTGAGTTTTTATCGGACAAAACAGGATATTTAACACGTCACCTTGGTCCCTAGGAAACTGTGATGGACATTTCTCACTATTTTAGGACTTTTTAAAAATCCAAATCTTTCATAAATTAATTCAGAAAGGAATTTTTACTTGCAGCCCATCTGAACACAAACTGAAGCTACATTGAAAGTCTCTAATTATAAACTGTGCAAGGTTCTTTGAGGACAAGAGGCCTGCAGGCGTTTGTTGAAAAAGGTCTTGAGTGTTTTTTGTGTCATGCTCACCTGTTTGTTGGCCAGTACCATTAAAGGCAGGTGGGGGTCAGAGGCCAGCAGCTCATGCAAAAGCATCTTAGCGAGGGGGAAGAGCTGTGGGCTTGAGGAGTCGACCACGAACACCAGCACAAGAGCCCTGGGCATGTACTTCTTCCAGTATGGCCGGAGCTCCTCTTTACCTCCAACTGACAGACAGACAGACAAACGACTGTGACACCGACTCGCTGCTCAAACTTGTGACTTACTTGAAGCAGAAGTGACTTGTTTGTTTGACGTGAACAAGAGCTAAGACTTACTTTCTAGGAACTCGATCTGCAGATCCTCTCGGTTGATGGAGAGGGCGTTCAAGCCCTGCGTAGGCTGCAAGTCCAGCTCGAGGCTGCTGGTGGCCAAACAGTGCAGCAGGCTGGTCTTACCTGCTCCATCAAGACCCAGAACCAGCACCTGTGTTCCTGATGACTCAGCAGGCCTAGACTGCAGCGCGCGCACACACACACACACACACACACACACCAGATTAGGGCTGGGTACTATCTCAACTGTACTGATAACATAAAGCTGCTTATCTAATACCAAACAAGACACTTTATTCCCTATAAACCTTTAGAAAAATAAGCTGAACTTTTCAAATTAAAATATATAACCTAAAGTAGCCGCACAAAAAACAGACAAAGATTAAAGCATAAGTCTAAGATTATCTGGATTAATAATAATTACAGTTTATATCAGTAACACAGCAACAATTTTGGTAATCGAGTCACTGTTTAATTAAATCAAGCTAAATTTAAAAAAAACCTGCAAAAAATATTTTGCTATTTCTTTGTAAATTAAATATCTTTGGGTTTTAGACTGTTGGTTTGAAGACGTCCCTATAATGGGACCTTTTCACTACTGTCTGACATTTGATAAACCAAACAATCGATTCATCAAGAAAGTTATCTGCAGATGAATCGATGATGACAAAGGTTGTTAGTTGCATTGTATTGTTAGTAGTTATCAATAATTCTGGACATCAACCAATTAATTTGATATATAATTTAAACACAGCTCTCTGAGATGCAGATTTATCATTAAGTACTCAAAAACTACAATACTTTGCCCAGCGGCCAATGCAAAAATAAATTTCAAAATAAGAAGCTAAAAGGACTGGCTATGAGTTTAAATATTAATCTATGTTAATTGTATATAATTGTATGGTTATTTTAGTGCTGCAACTAACATTTCATTACCAACGCATCTGCAGATTATATTCTGGATTAATTGATTAGTCTTTTGGTCCATAGAATGTAAGAAAATGGTGAAAAATGTCGATTACAGTTATCTTAACTAAGTGATGTCTTAAAATAGCTTGAAGCCCAAAATATTACATTTACTATCATATAAAACTAATAGAAACCAGCAAATATTCACATTTGAGAACTAATTTAACAGGGCAGTGATGATGAACATTGGTACAGATTAGGTCCTACATTTCCCAGAATCCCTCGCAGCACCTTGATTGAACTTGTTGCCGTTGTAACCAAAAAAAACGGCTCAACGGCTGGTTGAGGTAGTAGTTTTTATAAACTCTGGGGAATGTTCATAATTAAAGATAAAACTTAAAACACAATATTTTATAGCTGCTCTGTATTTTGGTATATTTGCGTGTAAATTAACGTTAGAAATGTGTCTCTCAACTTCACGTTAATTTACTGCGCAGGGTGATTACTCAAGTTTTAATCGGGGTTTAATCCTTAAAACTTTGTTAGGTGGAAAAACAGCTAATTTAAACTCGCTCAGTTCTCCTTGAGGGAATATGGATGTTATTTACTCCACCAACGGTTCCCATGAAGGAGAGTCCGGTAAAGTTATCGTTTCACCTCTGGTGCTTCCTGAGGTTGAGCAGCGCCAACCGTCGCAGCAGCAGTGACCACAATAGTTTGTTCAGCTTCCTCTCCTCCCGTCTCTTCCTTCCCTTCTCCGGCACTTTTACCGTCTTGTTCAGGTTTATTCTCCCGTAGGAAGACGCGTAGTTCCAGATAAGATAGGCGAGTCCCCCCGCAAGAGCCACGGAGGCGCCGAGGACACCGGCTTCTCTGAAACCGAACATGGTGCTCAGCCGCCGGGTTTTGTTTTACTAACTGCTGCTTCTTTTTTATCCGCCGGTTTCCGACATTGTTGCGACTTCTGGTGAAGCTTAAAGGTTTTTTTCCCCCCCTCGTCCTCCTCGTCTCCTCAACAAGTGGATTAACTGACAGGAAGCACAGGAGGAACTTCTTCAAACGATATTTCCGGGATGAAGTGCGGGGCTTTCTGTTGATGCAGTGTTACAATGTCACCGCTTGAGGGCGCCATTATTCCTAAAATATTTTCACGATGTTTACAGAACTCTTCTTTTTTACCAAGTATTTATTTATTTATTTGCAGTGCGGAGAACTTATCTAAAATGTAAATATGACAGAATTTTCCAAATAAATTTTCCATCTGTAGTCCCAGGCAGGTCGTCACAAGGTTCAAAAATAACACAATAAATGAAATATACAATAAAACACGATATCATATAAAAGACACCACAATTTTCAACATCTTAATATAAAACACACCACAGTTTTCAACATCTTAATATAAAATACACCACAATTTTCTAAACAGTTATGTAAAGTGCTATTTATGCTATAAAATGAAGTTTATGCAGTAAGTGCAAATTATTGTATTAAAGTGCTATTTAGTGCGGTGAAGTGCTACTTAAAGTACCAAAAGTACTAAAAAGTAGTATTATGCAGAATGGCCAATTTCAGAATAATATATATCACTGGATTATAATTAGCAATGCTTTAACATGTAAGCATCGCAATGTTGGAGCTGGAAAATGTTAGAGCTAATTCCAAGTGCTTTAAATACTACCAGGCAATTATGTAATTAATTAATCAATGATAATAGTTTATTTATATTTTGTATTAGCAATCTAAATTTGCAAAATAACTAATATTGGTAAATCAGTTTAGTGGAGTAGAAGTATAAAGTAGCATAAAATGGAAATATGCAAGTATGCTTGCTGCATATTTAAAGTGGATAAGGATAACAGGTGTGATTTTTGTGAATTTATTCCAGAATATTTTGGACTGAAAACCTTTTGACAAAGATACTTTATTGATCTTATTTAATTTAACATTTTCATTTTGCCCTGTGATGGACTCGTGACCTGTCCAGGGTGTACCCCACCTTTTGCCCAATGTCAGCTGGGATTGGCTCCAGCCCCCCGCGACCCTGTACGCAGGATTAGCGGTTGACGATGGATGGATGGACATTTTTATTTTGAGCATAAAACATATGACTGCTTTTGTGATTCAGTTGTTTAAATAAAACCACAAAGAAAAATAACAACAGTTCTAGTTTAACATAAGACTAGTGTAAGACCCCTGGCAATGTTAACAATTAACTATGTTGTCATGTCTTCATATTTATTATTTTGACTGTTACATTCCTCTTTATCTGTATATCATTAATTATATACATTTCTGTAATAAAAGAGAATGCTTCCTGTGGGACTAGACCTTATGTAATTTATCAGATTTATTTTTAAATTATTGGTTTATTCTTACAGTATGTTAGTGAGTTACAGTGGTGTTCATTAATTAATTGTACTTCTTTATTCCCCCTCTACTTGTCATTTTTTAAATCTCATTAAATATTCTTAGAAGAAGATCATAAAGGCCTTAAAACTCACTCATGATGGTATTTAGTAGTGAGTTAATAGTTGTGAGGTTTGCAATAATCTTTTAAGTTAAGTGCATAAACAAGAAGGTGAGACAATTATGAAATGCATTTATTAACAAATGTTCCAGTATAATTTTTGTAGTAACTGAACAAACACAATTAGTAAAAAAAAAAATCAACTCAAATCAAATGAAGTGGTTTAACCTAGAAGAAAAACAAAGAACAGAAGAGAACTTCTTTGCGGAGCTGAAACTCCTCCTTCCTCCCCTCCAATCACGGCTTGAAAGGTGGTAACTGATTGGTCCTCTTCACCGGCACCTTCTCCCGCTGTTCAGGAGCACTCAGGAGCCAGGCCTGGAGCTTGTTCTCCTCCGGCATCACCCTGAGACTCTTCCAGGTCCGAGCCCGCAACGAGGGAGGCCTCTTTCGCTGCAGAGCTGCCTCCTGGACCTGCTCTGTCCCTGAGCTGGAGGAGTCCACCGTCTCGACTTGTCGGTGCCTTCTGGACTTGGACGCCACCTGGAAATTGCTGTAGCTCTTCTGCTTGATGGAGGACACGAGCCTGGCCCTGCTGCGGCTAGACTCGGCCTCAGCTGCCTCCTCCGCATCATCACCGGAGTTATTGTCTTTGTTATCCTGTGAGAAAGTCTTCTCCTGCCAGCTGATGAACTCTGACATGCTGTCTTTCAGGCGGGCGGCCAAGTCTCGATGGGACATGGTGACCTTGCACCTAACCTCCATTGTGGCCTCCTTCAGCTTCTCATAGTGGTTCTGGATGTTGGTCAACTCCTCCACGCTGTCTCCAGAGAGGAGCTCCTGGATGGCAGTGGTCCTCCCAAGAAACTCTGCACACACAGGTTCCCCCTTTTGTTTCCTCTGCTTTTGGAAGGTAAGAAAATGTGGCATGGCGGTGTAGTGTATGGCTTTGTCTGCAACAAGTTTTTGATATATGTAAACAACATCTTGATGTCCAGCTTCCACAGAGTCCTTGAGAAAATTCTGTACTTGAGCATAGTCCCTCAGACAGAGTCTAATTTGCACAGGTGGTCTGGCAAGTTGTGTGTGGTAAAAACCAAACATCAAATACAAGCCTCCTACTCGAATCTGGTAGTTGTATGGAGGCAGGAAGTACTTCATGGCTGTGGCCAAGGTTATTCTGCAAAATCTCCTCAGTTCACCCACACGGGTAACACCTACAAAGACATCGGAGAAGCTCATCTCCCTCCAAATGGCTGAAAACTCCCCATACCTGACAGAGTCAGTCTGCTGGAAACGAGCCAGTAGTTCCTCCACATCTTCTGTCAGAGGACTGTAGAAGAATTCAGAGTAAAAAGGCTGCACACGAGGCATCCTGTCCACAAAACATTAACTTCTTATTACAATGAAACACTGAAATGCTTTTCAGACGTATGAAGCTCCAAACAGATTCAAAGCAGGTGAGGCCTGTCATTGGCAAATTACTGGATAAACACGCCCACAGGTGGGAGGAGTTATTAGTGGCGATTAACTAAGGAAACTCATCACAGCTGCCATGCAAGTCAAATGCTTTCAAAATAATGAGCTGTTAACTTGGACAATCAGAGTTTTGGGGGGTTAGCCTACATATCTGTAATTTTAGGGCAATGTTTTCTTCCAACTACATAAAAAACTAATTGATGTTTAAAAAAAAATGTGATACTATGCTGCACACACTACACTGACTGAATACCAACCAATAACATAAGTGTATAAATTATCCAAGTGGTTCCCAGGCTTTTTTGGTTTTTAATCCTTGAAAATGTCTGTTGTATATGAGGTTAGAAGGGCTAATATACTTTCCCATGTGAAGTCTGAAAAAAATAAATGATGTGACTAATGTAGTTATCTGGTTGCCTCTAGAATTTGCCCCAGGAGGACAATTATGATACAAATGATACTTTTGGTTTGATGATGTATGGTAACAAAAGGTAGAGCCCCCCCCTAATTATTTTCAGTATATTTAAGTTCTAAAAAACTAAATATCAACTAATGCGAATGCAATCAATCCAATATCCTCCACAGATCCAAGTGCATTAAATAAAAACCTTACAGGAAACACAATGGTCATGTGTTGCTGTTAAGAGTTTTATTGAGACTTAACAAAATGGGATGTCTGTTTGGTCTAGTTCCTCATTTTCTAAAACATGCAAAATTAAATTCAAGACTTCCAAGTTATTTTGCTTGAAAGTAGACCAACACAGATTCAAAAATAAATATTTTTTAACATTGCATCAGCTTAGTGAAAGAAAAGGGGAAATTTAGAGGAACATAATGGCAAACAGTCAGAGCACAATGTCTGGCTGTTTGCTAATTACCAAACCATGTGACCCTCAGACCCCCAAGACATATTAAAATGACAATTCTCCCAAAAATTTAACTTCAAGTTACCTTCCAAAAGCAGTGTGCTTATCAAACTATACTAGCCATTTGAACTGATCTGTGGGTTTTCCTGAATGAAAACATTAAGGTCCCATAAAATGTCCTTGATGTCAGAAGGGACATTGTGTTAAAGGTGGGGTATGCGATGTCCAACAGCATGATATAGAGTGAACGACGACACAGCAAGTAATGTAACTAACGTTCGCTAAGTTGTGGGTTAGCCCACTGTCGCTACAGTTGCTGCTGTGAAGCTAATGTGGAGAAAGGACAAGACGTTTTCCCAGAGCCAGAACACTAGCTCCAAACAGCAATACAACTCTTCTGCTACTATAGCCAACATCACAATAAAAGCATGGTCTTGGCAGAGTAGAAATTAAGCTGAATGTCCGTGGACAAGCAATTTACCTGACGCACAAATCATGGCAGGAATGGCTGGAATAGTGGTGCGTGGTTCGGTGCGAGCCACTTTCTTTGTTTCCCATTTACAGAGCCAGGACCGTGTACAAACACCAGATTTTTGTCAGCTCACACACAGAACGGACAGCTAGCAGACTGTGACGAGATACTTGCTGAAATTGCCTACCCCACCTTTAAGGATTGATTTGAAACTTCACTGAATAAAAGTTGGCTGAATCAACCCAAAAATGTATCACATTTTATTATAGAAATGTAAATTTAGCATATAATGATAGAACAATAAAATATTTTTTGTTCCTTTTACTGTGAACTCCAAAAGTCACAATAAAAAAAAAGTAAAAATAACTAAGAAACAATCTGCTTTTGCAGTGTAACACAAAGTTAATTACAGTGGAACTGTCTTTTAGAAATTCTCTCTTCTGTGCTAAAAAAAACACCACAAATTAATGACATAGAAGAGCAAAGGGGAGCTTTTGGTTTCACATTTTTAAATGAATGACCAGAAGAAAAAAGTCTAATTAAACTTTTTTGAACATTTAAAAAAAAAAAAAAAAGCTTTTGATTTCTTGGTGATTTCTCAGCCACACAGCCCATGGCTCCTCTGCCTCACGTTGCTTCCCTCCGACTACCAGCCGCCTTTGCCACCCTTCTTCTTTTTCTGTGGTGCCTTCTTTCGTGTGGCCCCCGAGGCTGCGGGTTTCTGCTGTCGTGGGGGGACCACGTTGCTAGCGGGGGCTGTAGATGAGCTAGATGCAGACCCTGGTCTGGGGGAGGTAGGGGGGCTACTGGCTGTCTTACTGGCATCCCTGGAACAGAGGAAGAGACAACATACTATCAGATTGCCCTCAAAGCAATATTTGTTAATTCTGGGGACACTTTGCACCTACAATCCTCTCATGGCAAACCATGTACATGTGTCCATCTGTGCCCTGCAAGCATTTTACAGTTTGTGGGAAATGGACATATTTGCTTTTTTGTCGAGAGGTAGATGAGAAGATTGATACCTCTCTCGTGTCTTGTTTTAAGTCTGGAGCTGGAGATAGGGGGCAGTTAGTTTAGCATAAAGACTGTAAACGGGGAAACAGCTAGGCTGGCTGTGCAACATCTACCAGCATGTACCAGACTGTGGTGTTGATCTTCTCATCCATCTCTAGGGCAAGAAAGCTAACAAGTGTATTTTCCTATTTGTCAAACTATCCCTTTAATTCTTTATTTTCTCTCCAATGTTTTTAAGTTCATAGTTTACCTCTACTATACTTCTGTATATATTTTGTCCTGTACAATAATATATTTCTACATAGTACTTCTAGGTGTATATAATGTATATAACTCTTATCCTTATTTTTCTATTTCTAATATATATTGTATTTTTCTATTCTATTTTTATTCAATCTGTATCTTTATATGTTGTGTTGTGTCTAGAGCTGCTGTAACAAGTAAATTTCCCCAGTTTGGGATCAATAATGTACATCTTAACTTTTGACAGTCTGACGATGGTGAATAACGCCTAAAATGACTTCTTCTATTTGCTTATTTTGTTTCAACTTCAGTTTATGTCCACACTTTACAGGTCAGCAAACGACAAAAACTAATACTGAATATATAAAATTGATAAATTAATAAACAAAAAAAACAAAACACAAGCATTTCTGATACTCCTCATGTGGCGTTCTACTTTGGCTGAGACCGAGAATCATTTTTACTTTGGCCAAAACAACACACAAGCTGTTCCTACTTCACAGTAGCTGAACATGTCCACTGAGGTTCATTGCCAGGGAACACAAGGACCAATCTCAGGTGCTTTTCCTCCATTAGGGAGTTAATAACTAGGTTTCAATTACAGGAAAGTGCACCCAGGCAACTCTACTCGCAGGTTATGTGCGTATGCATGTGATTCTGGAGTTTACTCACAGCTCGGCTGAAGCTCCTGCAGTTGCTCCCTGTGTGCCTTTTCCGATCTGCTCCTTCTTCTTTCCCTTCTTCTTGCCTCTGTAGTAGGAACGCTCCTTCATGGGCATCCACCTCTCAGGGTCAGGGGTCGCTTTGGGGTCACAATTCTTAGGCAGTTTGCCTAAAAAGGAAGATCCAGAGGAATCACAGATAGGTAGCACTCAGCAAAGTGTGAATAAATAAATGAGACAGATCTGTGGTCAATAACCATCTACATTATACAACCCTGTTTCTTAAACATGAGAGCAAGCGCCATTTTTTTTCTCAAATTGACAACTTCTTTTAAAAATAATCTGTCCAACAAACAAAATTTGATTAATGGCATACCTTTCTTTTTCTTCTTCTTCTTTTTGATCTCACCTTGGCTGTAAAGACAATGCAGACACAAAGGAGGTGAAAGTGTAGCCACCCAAGCTCATCCTTGATATATTGTCATCACAAAAACATGTTTTTAAATTTAGGAAATGTTATGAAATCATAAAACTGATATGGAAGAGAGTTATAAAGGTTTACCCTTGTTCTTTGGGAAGGTTTTCTCCTATGACCTTAGCAGCTTTTTTCCTGACGTAGGTGGCTCCGTGGGAGTTCTCCAGCTCGTCTACATCCACGTTTAAGGCCATTGTGTCTGCGGATGGTAGGTGCTTGCTGAGGCTATAGAGGAATGCTAAGGACAATACTGTTCCCATTTCAAATGTACACCTTCATTTGCACCATCATAAAAGTTATTAAAAGTCCTAGCCTGGTTTGTCTTTCTAAAGGATTTTGCATAAAAATGTCTTCATGACTTTTAGGTGTTTTTGCTTGAAAAAAATGCCTGAAATGATTGAGTATCAAAACAGTTGCCAATTACTAAAAAACTAATTGTGTCAGCTCAGTAGCTCGTGTCTTCCATTTCAATTGGTCAAAGGATACGATTTGGCTTTATCCGTGTTCACCAGAGAATACGCCGAGATGAGTTGTGCCAATGTGTGGATGTCGTTGGTGTTTTGCCTGTTTAAGAAATAATTGAAAATTAAGCTTGTTGTTGTTGTGCAAGAAGGAATTCCAACAATTCATGTGGTAAAAATTTTGTGTCCTGACGTCACCTGACAAACACGACTAAAACTAAAAATTTAAAGGTTAAAGTTTGCACATATACTCACAGATGTACTGCATAAAATATGTAAATGAATAAATGCTTGGCTTCATAATGAGTTTATTTTTCTCATATTATAATTTGTGTTTTTACTGCTCTATAAGCACATGGTAGTAACTTTTCTGTTGAACTTGATAAACCTTTGAGATGACTAAACAATAAGCAGAATCAGCAGCTGTGAGACAACCTCTTAGTAGCAAATTATGTGTATTTTTCTCCCACAAATACTCCACACATGTTGGTCTTGAGTGTTTTACAGGGCTCTAACTCACTTCCACAGCTGCTCCAGATCACTAATCGCTTCTTTTTTCCGTCCGTACTTCAGTTTGAAATTGGCAGCTTCTCGTACAAGAGCCAAGTGTGCTGCAGATCCGGGCTGTGGAGGAGGAAGAACAGGCTGATTACACAGTGGAAACTGTATTCAGATATCAGAAAATTAGGTCATGTGTCTTGTCAGATGAAAGTATTACCCACAGCCTTGACTATAGGAGGTGATTGGCAAGATTAGCTTACTTTATGGACATCTATAAAGCCCTTAGTGCTGTAATGTTTCTGAAATGCACTTCCTGCAGTTTACCTATCAATCAAATGCAGTGGTTTGTGGTGAGAGTGTGTTGTTCCCTGAATATGCTGTTGATAAACTGAGTTTCTGTAGGCGGCTATCGCTGCCTGTGTTAGCTACCAAGTTCTTTTTCTGCTTATTCCAAAACACAGTGGAAAAACAAAATCATCACAGAGTTCTTTCTCCAGGAAACATCTTCCAAAGAACTTTGGGCAGTAAATCTTAAAGTCTTTATTGACTGGACACAGGACGAATCCCTTTTGACAGATTTTTTTGAGATCAAACCCATCGGACACAAACCTGTTCAGACTGGTAGTGCTCAATAGCTTGTTTGAAAATGTCAATAGCGCTGTCAATGTCTTCTTCATGGGAGTACATCGTTACCAGAGCTGAAACCTGAGGAGTCAATGACACAGTTTAGGTGAATGGTAGTTGACTAAAGCTAAATCAGAGACTTTACACAGTTACCAGGGTTCTATAACCAGCTATCCATCATGGAAAGAGACAACAGCCACAAATCCATCATTATACTGGAAACTCGTACAATATTGTTTTTATTTCAGACTTACCATCCCTGATTTGTGCTTGAACTCTTCAATGGACCTTAGAACATCACAAGCTTTTGTTACATGACCTGAAGACCAAAGAAGACAAATTCTTTATCATTTAAATACACCACAAATAGTATAACACAAATGTAGCCACTGTGACAATGTAAAAAAAAAAAAAATAAAGTTTGGTTGTCCATTAACAAACTTAAATAAAAGAAGTCATGTGTTTAACTACAGGAAACATTTTCATTGGATATCCTGTCCTACGAGAATAGAAGTAAAGCCTAGTTCACACAACACGATTTGTAGCCTGATTTGTCGCTGTGATCGGGAGTAAACTACAGCAGCAGTTACATAACAGCAACATAACAGCTCCCCGACACATCACTGGCACATTGCCGATGTGAACCAGATATCTAGCATGCCAAATATCTGGAGAAGTCGGCCGACATCCACATCCAGCCAATGAGAGCAGGCAGCTACTTTTGTCACCACAAAACACTTTTTACTCACCTACAGCTCTCTCTGTAGCTCAGACGATCGCTGCTACCTGAGTGTGCTAATCCATCCTTTCACCCATATTTTCTCTTTAGAATTTCTATCTTTATAATAACAAACAACAGCTGTTTCGTGTGCAGGTTTGCGTCACTTCCTGTTCCACATTTCACCTGTGTTTTCTTGACAAAACGTGGTTTGGAGACCAGCGTCAGGTGACACAGTCGTTGTCAGCTCGTGTACTGTGTGACCCCCTGTCTCCGATCACTCACGTAGTGCGAACGCCGCAACGACTTCAAGACTCCCGTCACAAGAAGGCAAGTTATGTAGTGTGAACAGTGCGGCGATCGGCCAATGCTGAAAGCCGTGTAGTCTGCACGAGCCTTAAGAGTAGGGTCTTTCTGAACCATAATCAGTGTAAAAAGATGCCAGTACCTTGTATTAAATATAGTTGTGCCATTGTCAGTTTGATGCCAGATGCACTCTCTGGATGCTGATCTGAGAATTGCTGTAAAACAAAGAATAGTCAGTGAGCACGGCCTAAGAAAATACAAATGACTGAATGCATACAAAACAGTCAAAGCTACTGGCATAATTTTTCTCTAAATAAGAACTAAATAATCTTATAGATTCCTGATAACAGACCAAATATGCTCAATTGTTGCAGCTATGGATGCAAGGACTTTTACATAATCAGAAAGAAAAGTAGGAGGATTTCCATTGTTTTTAGGATGTGAATCAGACTGAAAACAACCAGCAGTGTTGCTCATTTTTACCTGGAGCAGCTCTATGGCCCTGCTGTGCTGCTTCTCCCTGCACAGCTGAGCAACCTGGATGAGGACCGGCCGCGGGTGACCCGGATTCTGAGACTGAAGACTGGAGCACAGTTTCCTGCACTGGTCAGCCTGTTGACGGCAAAACAGCAATGCACAAACAAATTGTGATCAGTCCTGAAATCTTACATTTTGGGAAATCAGCCATTACTGTCGCATCTTCGTATGAATCATAACTTCTTTAAGCTGAAACTGTACCTGGTTAGTGTACATGGCCAGGAGGGCTTTGTTTAGGTCAATGGCCTGCAGCTGCTTCTTTGCCAACTTGTATTCAACACCTTCAGCGTTAGTCAGTTTCACCTTTTTCTTTGAGTCAAACACGTTTTGGTCCTATGAAAAACAGACAGAGCTTCAATGAAAACATTTGATCCAGTCAAAATATTCTATATCTATGGGTGGACATAAACAGATTGTCTGCACTGTGCTACATTCAGAATATTTTGGACATAGAGGGGCTCAGCGGTAGGGATGGGTATCGCTACTCAGTACCTTTATGGTATGGACTGATACAGCCCATGGTTAATAAAATAATTTGGTCACTAAACTATTTTACTCCTCCTCTGTCATTCAAATATAAAATATCTCCCAAGCTGTAGTCTTTCCCCTTATAGGCTAATATTACCAGTGAGGATGACCTAATTAGGATGAGGAGCGATCTGATACAATTTCTCAATACTTTTTATGTAGCAGTTATTTGAAACAAGAAAAATAAAACCTTGCTTCACCTTGCTTGTCCATAACAACAATAAAAATAATAAGCTACCATTCAACTGCTATGGCTTCAACGGGTGGCATTTTATGAAAGGTATCGAATGAAGTACTCAAATGGTATCGGTACCACGAAGGGTACTGGTTTTGGTGCTGGTATCTTAAGATTTTAAACGATACCGATCCCTACTCAGCGGGAACCGAGTTACTGTGAGATCACAATGATCACTTTTAATGATATAATATTTAACTGGGTAAGATTGTCATACACGTACCTTGTTTATTGTAATGATATTATTGGCAGTCACAGCAAGCAGCCCCACATCTGATGGCCTGCAATTAAGAGAATATAATGGAAAATCCATTTGACATCTGCACTGTTGACACAAATACAATTTGTGTATGGCCTTTGTTTACAATTTGTTTATGGCCTGTTAAACTGTTTCTGGCACAAATGAACATATTAGTACTATCACAATACAAATTCAAACTAGAATATAACAACCTTATTTCAACCTGTGCTACATTATTTTCCTCTGCTTATGGGAGTAAAGTAAATGCACTCACTTGAGCTTGATGACCTGGTTGTAAAGCTGCAGTGCCTCGTCTGTCCGACCTTGTAATTGAATGACATACGCCATCTGAGAATGGATGACGGCCAGCTCCGACTCGATATCCTCTTCAGTCATATCCTGAAAGGGATAAATCAGCAACAGTGAATATCCTGGGAAAAGTAGAAATCCAGCAGTTGGGGGAATTAAGACAAGCATGGACATTGTTGTAGATTTACTAAAAATATATTGTCAATATTTGCCCATCATCTACATCTGAGTGCGAACCAAATTTTGTTTATATCCCAATCTTTGTCCAGACTATTTCTGAGAATTTAAACTTATGGTTAATGTTCAGCAAGATTTAACAACACAGCTTCACTCTCCGATAAAAAAACATATTAATGACAACAAAATTAATGCATTCCATAATTGTTTGTGCCTTTTCGAAGCTTAACACAAGTTCTAAAATCCGTAAATTGTCATCACTAATGGATGAAAATGTTACAAACCAACTGGATGAGATTTTATCAATGATGCTAATGTTTTGGACAAACAAAGCAACACTCACAGAATCATCTGCCAATGAGACTCTGCAAAGATCTGTGAAAGAAAACAACAAGTTACTATCAAATTCAAAATGGATAAAATAGCAACAAAAGGCGGCAGAACAGAGTGGGACTGACCCTCTGCTTGTCGTAGTTTATTGAGGGCCTCCGTAAGCTGTCCTTGGCCAATCAGAGCGCAGGCAGCATTGTAACACAGCTCATATGTCGACTCGGGTAGACCTAGATCTTCCTGCAAAAGAAAATATAACACATCTTATAAAACATAACAAAATAAATGTACAGTAATTTGCCCGACGCCACACATCCAGTTCCAGTAACTTTAATCTGAGCATGATCTGACTTTGAGCTCTTTCTCTGTGGTATTTATTCAAGCTTAAACCACATGAAGTAGAAGCTGAATATAAGCATCACTCAAGAGTCATTTTCAGACCTGATCAGCAACACACAAAAGCATATAAACAAAATTCGGTGCACAATGGTCAAAAAATGGTGATATAGTAGATGAGTGCTTACCAGTGGCGCTTCCTCCCACTGACTCATTGAAGCCACCACAGCAGCGAGGTTGGTCTTCCTCTCTTCCTCGTACTCATCCTGAGAGTTCCTGATCAGATCTGTGTAGACAGACTTGCAGTCATCGTAGCGCTCCAGTCTGTACAACTGGACAATGAAACGAGAGACAGGTTCAATCAGCAAGAAGTCTTCAAATGCGTAATCTAAATGTTTCTTGCAGAATAGACCGAGAAATATTAAACTCATCAATGTCCACCTGTCGCATCACTGGCCAATAATAAACTGGTTTTCTATTAAGACATTTTCACTGATCTGTGCACATTACTTTATACATTATTTTATAAAAACTGTGACATATATTACATGGTTAGATTTGAAGATAGTTCACATCAATATTCAGCAGCTTTAAGCCAAAAATACACAGCAGCTAAAGAGCTCATATCAGTCACATCCCAGATCTTATGAGCAACTTCACATCACTCCACATCAACAAGGTAGTGGGCAAGAACACAGTCTCTCCCAGTAAAATTCTCAAAACTACACAATCTAGAAATTCAAAGAAATAATATAATGTTCTTCATGGCCAAACAGCCTTACCACTTGACCGTAGAGCTCCTTCAGCTTGTCTGTTTGTTCAGGAGCACTTTCAATGGTCTTCAGGGCACTTTCCACTCTGTTAAGCCGGTACTCGCAGTACGCCTTCTCAAACACAACCTCACTGAGAAAGAGGAGAAATAAAAAAATATTTTAATGAGGAGGCAGAAAGTCATTTGTTAGTTATAAGTGTAAAACATGAAATAAGCACTGCAAAAATTCTGTCCAGTTATAAATGGCCAAGGGCGGGGGCCCATTCGACCTCTGACCCATCCTCCTGGTTCTCCGATTTGATAACAGCATCAAACAACAATACGGTTTCATATTAAAAGGGGCTGCAACTACTTCATTATTGACTAATATCAGATAGAGCTTCAGTGCTTAGTGTTTCTAAAGTATGGATCAGCATTTCAGCTGATTTCAAGTTTGCAAACACACCATATTCTTTTAAGAGTTAAATTCAAGTTGTTCAGTTTGTGTTTGTATGCATGCGATTTGCCTGTATCTAAATTACAACTTATTTTCTATTGTTTTATCTCTCTATAAAGTACTTTGAATTGCTTTCGTACAAGACTGTGCTCTACAAATTAACCTGAACTTGGTAATAATAAAAAATGACTTGTTGTGTCTGTCAAACAGTCCAAACCCCAAAAACTATTCAATTCACAATTACTTTAAACAGTAACATTAAAGCTGGAACCTGGAGACTGTTCAGTATTTGAGAATGCATTTACTCATCAACACATAAGAGTTATGAACAAGGAAAGTTCACACTCAGCTGATTACCTGCCGAGCACCTTTGAATGGATGTTCATGACATTCAGCGCCTCTTTGAAGCTGCCATTCTGAACAAGGCAAACTATTTTACAGGTAAGGGCCGTCACATCGTCTCTGTTTTCGTGCAAAACTGATACAAAAGGAGACACACACACATTGCAAAATCTTCATTAGTAATGCAGATTAAAAGGGAAAATATAACGACTGAAAACAGGATTATTCAAGAAGAATTAAACAGTCAGTAAATGTCTCTACAGATCTGGTAAAAGCTGATTAGCTGCAAACCATGATTATGTTAGCTGTGAGGCTAGGGACACGTCACTGATCAGGAACGTACTGCGCACTTCTTGGGCAAAACAGTGTTTTATTACTTCACATAAAACCTACAAACGTGAACTGGATTTGTAGCTATATAACTTAAACATATAGTTATGATCAGACGTTTGGTATACAAAGCTAAATCGGTGTTTGAGAGACAAGAAGCCGTCTAACTCTCGTTAGCCTAGCCACATGCTAACAGCTGGCCCTAGCTTAGCCAGCGACCTCCGCTAACTGGAGCCCGAAGAAAAGGACCGTTTATCAGCTGTCTGGTAGAAACTCCGGTTCCCTTTGATAGTAACGCTGACAGACACTCGTTCCTACTTTTAGTCAGAGCTTTCAGGGCTCTCGTGTAGTCTCCATTCTGTCCGCAGCGGTTCACTTCAGTCCACAGCGAAGCCACCGAGACCCCTCCGCTCGCCATCTTCGCTGAATGGGCTCACAGGACGGGCGGAAGCATAAAATGTACACATCCGGGTTAATTTCTTCTTCTTCTATATGAAATTTTATTGGAGTTTGACATAGAACGAATTGGTGCATTACCGCCACCAACTGGTAGCCAATGGAGCGTGGATCAGGATGACTAGTCCTAAATAACAAAACAAAAGTCAATTAAATTTTATTTAAATAGAGCCAATTCACAACAACTCATAGACTGTATATAAGAAGAACAACTCTTATCTCATTGCGCTTTTCATATGTAGCAGCACTCTTTTTATTTGAGACCTTCCTTTTAAGAGGCAGAAACCTCAAGCTGAACATGGTAGCAGTAGGCGACTGCTGGGCGTAACCACAGATCCAGACTCCACAGCTAAAAAGCGGTAGAAAGAGAGAGGAGTGGGATGAGAACGCACAAGACCGAGAAAGCACAAGACAAAGAAAAACAAAACAACAACCAAAAAAAAACACCCATTTCCTCTCAATCATGTTGATTACTCTAAGATAATGAACAGCAATTCGATAGCACTCGTCTCTTGAGTTCTCTGCAAGAATTAGCTACTAAATCAAAGTGTATTTTTTCCTTTCTGAGGTTTTGGATCAGTTGCCTTCTTTTTCCCTCATACTTCTAACTGTGTACCATAACGTCTCTTGTTGCCCACAGTAGTTACAAATGTGTTATGTTAAGAATTAGCTACTAAATTATCTTGTATTGTTTTTGTATTATTGTCTCTTGGGTATTACTGTCTTTACACTTGTTAAAGCACTTTGTAACTTGTTTTTGAAAAGTGCTCTACAAATAAAGATTATTATTATTATTATGTTTACCTATTTTGAATAAAGTATGTCCAGATCTAAGACTTGATATGAATGTCTAATCTCTCCTGTTCCTTCTTGCACATTTCTCCCACTTTCCATTGAATTTTGTAAAACTACCGTCCTTTCCTCTCGTTCTCCCATTGCTTTTGCCATCTTTTCTTCAATCTCTGTTTTTATCTACTTATGCTAACTGTCATATCAATGTATTCCCCTTTTGAGGCCTCCCAGATTGTTCTCAAATTAAGTTCAATTTCTTTCTCAAGGATTCTAAATAGGGTTTTTTATGTTGGTCAAATTACATTTGTGTCCATGAAATTTTGCCAGAAACAACATAAAATTGATTATGAAATAATGGTCACAGTGTTGCTTTTAATTACTGAAGACATTCTGCCAGAACAAAGCTGAAACCTGAATATTTATAATCATTTCTAAATGTACAAAGTTCCCAAAAAAAATGTTTTACTTAAGTACAGTGCCAAAATAAATGTAATGCCGTTTCTGTATGAGTCTCACAGAAGGTACAGTTAGGATCAATGTCATTTTTAAACATGTTCGTGCAATGTTTGGTGGGGTTGAATCAACTATCCCAATTCTCACCCTGCTTATTTTTACTTTATCGCTGTGTTTTGTTTCCTTACTTCTCTGTTTTGGATTGGGTATAAATGTCTCCCAACTAACTCCCATTTCTGCAACTAACCTGTCCAGTCCATTCTCATGCCATCAACATAACAAACAACTTTACTGTATATACATGCAAACAATGCGATGTTTTAGGCATTTAAACTGCAGACCCTGTTGTATCTGTTTGCAGATCTATCTGTAAAAACCTGAAAACTATCTTTATTGTCCCTATAACTATACTATTCACTAAAGTCTTATTGGTGTGCTTAATCCTAAGAAATTCCATATAAACACATGGATTTTCTAGTTCCCAGATACGTCTAACAGGCCACAGTTGCACAAAACTCTTTGTCAAATATACCATTTCTTTTGTTAGGCCTATTTGCTCTCCTGTCCAACCAAAACATCCAGGCAAAACAAGCCAGGGGTAATTAAAATCCAGGAAGTAACTCAGGTGTCCTCACACAAATATTTAGGTGTCCACATTGACAGTCTTCTTTGCTGGAATACACATGTTGAAAACCTGTGTAACAAATTGCAGCAGAGGCTTTATTTTTTAAGGCGTCTAAGGTTGTATGGTGTGAGCAGTCAGATCATGATGATTTTCTACCATGCAATCTTAGAGAGTGTATCAGATATGGAATTACTGCATGGTTTGTCAACTTAACAGTTAAGTTGAAAAACAAGCTTGCCAACATGCACAAAACAGCCATGAAAATTATAGGGAGGAGAGACTATGAGCCTATACAGAGGCTGTATGACCAGACAGTTATGAAACAGGCTAGGAAAATTAAATCAGACCCTCAACATCCCCACTTCCCTGAATACGAAACGAAAAAGACTCCGTGTACCAAAATGTAAATCCAATTGCCTAAAATTATCATTTGAGCCAGCCTCCATTAAGATGCTGAACAATGTGAAATAGAGCTGTGTGCAATAAATATGTGAGCACTTCAGCACTTTACTTGTGATAGGGTAATAGGGCAACGTGCAATAAACATACTTGCACATTAGCATATGCACTTTACACAAACTACAGTTCAATGGAGCAATGTGCAACAACCACACTAGCACTTTAGCACTTGCATTTTAATCCATGGACAATGTCCTATTTTCCTCTTGTGAAGTACAACACGTCAATGCTTCTCAGGTTCTTGTTGATGTGTTTTATGATGTTTTTTTTATGAAGCAACACTGCACTGTGCCCAAGCAGAATTTCCCCTTGGGCACAATAAAGTTAACGTAACCTAACAATTTCCTGATTTTCCCTGAGTTTTGAAGAACATAGCCTTTGTTTTTTCCTGTTTTATTCCCCACTTGCCAAGTCTTCCTCTTTTCCACAAAGCCCAGTCATCTGCAAACATCTCTGCATATCCATTGAAATATTTACAAATATATATTTTCTCATAATGGAAAATAAAGTTGGACTACACTGCCCTGTGGCATTCAGTTTTCTACAACATACTGATCCTTCACCTAATTAGTTTTTCTAAAATCCATAACTCAAGTTAACATTTGACCTCAGATTCCCATTAAGTGTAGTTTCATTAGAAGCCCCTTTGTCTATAACATATCATGAGCTTTATTTACTTGAGCTTTCCTTATTTTATCCTCCAGATACAACACTGGATCCATACCCCTTCCTTTCCTAAATACGCTTTGATATGTAGCCACCATACCTCTACTTCCCAAGGAGTACTACATTAACCTCTCATTTATCATACAACCCGTTAATTTACAGATGTACGACGTCAAAGCAACTAGTCTGTATTTTCCAGGCCTGCTGGCATCTTTTCCAGGTTTCCTTACTGTAATAATTATTGCCTCTTTCCAGCTCCCTGGCATCCTTCCCCTATCCCACACTTTGATATACAGCAGAAATAATACAGACTTCCTACACTTGGCTGTTTTAACATATTTCATGTGCAGTCTTTCCTATTGTATCTAGTGCCTTTCTTAATTTTCCCATGCTGAAAGGGCCATTTTGTCCACCTTCAATACCTTTTCTACATACAGTTTTCAGATTATGTTCTCTCACTGCCTTTTTTTTCTTATTCATTCAATTTTTTGGTGTTGTGTGTTGTAGAATGACAAATAAATAGGCCTATCTAGTACCTTGTACCTGACTGAATTGGAGAACTTTCTCCCATTTCAAGTTATTTTGCAAGAATTGTTACCATATTTTCATAAAATATACAAAACAATCTTGAATAATAAATATAAACATGATCATTTGTCTATTTTATTCCAAGTCCAATAATTGCAGATCGCGTACATCCATAAAAACATTGAACATGTCTTTTTAAAACATATTTTGAAAGTTTGTTTTCTAGAGCACAATGTTAGCTAGTCCATATATCATGTTTATTCTAATTGTGTTTCTAATACATTAGCTATAGCCTTCTTTATCTTTAACAGCTGTTTGCTCAAAACGATATGTTTCCTGTATGCCTGTACATAAGTCATTTTCCTCGCCTTTCAAGGTGGTGCGACCATCATAACTTCACCCACTGTTTCTTAGGTCTTAGACTTTTACAGACTTTTACAGAGTTTTTTTACTTTTTTCACTACTTTTTTTTTTTATCTTTCTCATTTTTGTGGTATTTTATCTGTAAATATGTGGGAAAAAACACATAGGCTGTATATTTTGAATGAATCCATGGGGTAAAAAAACATTTTTGATAAACCCTTCTGTAAATGTCTGGGCATTTGATATATTATCACAATAAAACCAAAAAAGTCCATCTGATTCTTATCAATGTGCATGAAAATGGATGTGTGTGATATGCAAATCAGCACATATTAAATGAGGAAATACCTAATTTGCATAATGAAAAATTAAAAACATAAAAAGTTGTAATTCAAAAAAAGCTTCTATTTGTATTATTCTATTATGTATACATTTAGCTTGTAAAGTTTCATTGTGATATGAGTAAAGTTGAGAAAAAAAACTGAGCATTTTTGCCTTTAAGTGAGAACTTACAGTAATGTCAAGGGTGTCACTTTGTGTTGAAAAGTGGTGGGGACATTAGAGCTCAGATTAGGGGTGTGATGATACAGCTGGGTCACGAGAACAAGACTAGAAGATATTTTAACACTATTTTGAAGAAATATTAAATGCTGAAATATATAAGTGGGGGGTCTGCGCGTCCTTCCCCAGAAGCTTTTGAATACTTTATTTTTTACATTCCTACACAAATTTATTGTGTAAATATCTTTAATTAAATAAAAGGAAACACAAATTAACAGGTGACATTTCAAAATATAAAAATATAATGAGATATATTGCAGTAATCAGTAGCTTCTTTATTAAGCTTAAGTTACTTTTTTTGGAAAATGCACATTTACTTTTTCTGTGTTCTTCTTTGCATTGCATGTTTTCTTATTGCGCAAATAAACCTTTCACAAAGCATTTTTATAAATTATAAATGTGTTATTTAAATTTTTTGTTGCAAGCTATTATTCAGAACATATTTTAACATATGCTTTCAAATAGTGACGGGGGAATCAGCCATTTCAGAAAGTGATGGTAACATGTCCTCCTCATCCCCAGTGTGAATGACACCGTGATGTACTTAGGGCACAGAGGGAAATGTTTCCTGCAGTCCTCCAGCCTTTCCCTCCAGTACATTTTAGAAGTTAAGATTTGACATACAAAACATATGAGTGGTTTATAAAATATGCTACATTAAACTAAGCTACTCATTATTATATTATATTAGAAGTAATCGACAGTAAAATGCTTCTTACACGTTTATGCATCAGTTATAATAAACTGCTATATAATAATATAGTACTGTGAGAAGCGGTAGCACATTATAAGTAAATTTTTGCTGATAATACGCGTGCCTTAAGTATGATTTTTGATTTAATTTTGTGTGACGAATCATAATTCCGATATCTCTGGCAGCACCGGAAGGCAGCTCAACAGGCAGGGTTGGCTGTTCGGTCGGACTCGGTCGGACTCGGCAGCAGAGGAGGGGGGGGGGGCACTGTTGTCATTCGTCAGGGCTGTGTGTCGAGCTTTTGTCCAAGAGAAATGGCTGGGATTAAAGGTAAGACGTTTCCCACTTTTCATTTCATGAATAAAGCACCCGAATTACCGGCTCCGACAATATAACTGTGTCAAAATAGCAGAAAGACAGATGGATGCGTTTGTCCTTTCCAGCTATCTAACGGTAACGTGAAGATGTGGTTAGCCGCTGGGCCAGTAACGTTACTGACGTTAGCATTAGCTGAATATACATGGGCTACAGCCGCTACTTAGTCAACACAATTAGATGCAACTTAAGCCACTTGTCACACTGCAGTCCCGTAACGTTGTTTTATGATACCGCATTAAATGTCATTCACTAGCAGCTTAACAACGTAGTAGCGACCGTTATAAGGCTAATGCTAGCTGCACCTTGACTTCAGTAATTTATCCCTGCCTGAGATGCTGTGCTTGTTGGCAAGTGAGCTGCCTGGATTAATTGCTGTTAACAAGCAACCACACTGACTATCTCTTTCAGAGTTTAACATGCGCCCCCAACGGCATGGCTTAGATTGCTAATATAGCTATTACACGTGAAATCAGCTGATTCATCACATGATAGCTCCAGTAGCCAGGGGCCCTGCTGCTACTGTGTGATTGTCTCGGGATACAAAAGCACAGATTCAGAGTTATGTGACACTGTCCATGCTGAAATCCTCCCCTCTGTCTCTCTTGTAGCTCTCATAAGCCTGTCCTTTGGAGGAGCCATTGGCCTCATGTTCCTCATGCTAGGATGTGCCCTCCCTGTGTACGAGTAAGTATCACCATCACACACCATGTAAGCCTGTTCGTGTGTGTGTGTGTGAAGGACACATGTTCACACTTGGCACTCAGATGCACCTTGGTTGATCCCATCACAGGTTTACAGGTGTAAAAGCATGGCCTGATTAACCTGATTTGGGGCGCCAGGGCAATAATGAGCTGCTTGGTCCCCTATACTGACCTGCCAGGTTTTCCAGCTTGGTGATAGGGTTGCACGATATTGACAAAATTTGATGTTGCGATATTGATCGTGAATGTTGCGATAACGATATTAATTTGGCCAATGAAACATGATCAATATAAACTAAATCGAGCACAGCTATGCCACACAGCCAAGGGACGCATCTCTCCACAAAATAAATACAATATTGCACACTTTCTGCAACGTTTTTGATGTAAGTTATATTCTGACACCTAGTTCTTCTTAGTATTTCTAATATTACATGGACCAGAGATTTATTGTGTGGTCATTTGTGGTATGGTATTTTCAGTCCCAGAGGCTGCGATAACGGTTGTTAGGAGCAAGTTAAAGAAATATGCTAATTTAAGGGTTGTTTTTTTCGTAAGTGGACTTCAAACAACCTGTACAGCTGCGTTGGTCTCTTCCAAGCTTTTCACGGATGTGGTTAGTCAGATAACTATATATGAAGAAGTAGTCCCCATTCTTAATACTGCAAACAAGGCTCTGATTGGTTGGAAACAGGCTGGAATATTCACCAGAGGGCACAACACCGGACCTGTTTTAATCACTGAACTAATCTGAGATGAAGGTGGTAAATGATATTGTGCTTTCATTGTAGCTGAAATAATGAAGATCACCCTACACGACCCGCCTTAAAGCTATGTACCATGTTAGTAGATGTTGCTATTTAGTGGTGCGTTTTCCCAAACAAGGTTACAGTTTATATAATTACCCCAAACCAATTGTCAACCAGTAAAGCTTGGGAGCCACTGGACAGTTACATGGTTGGTAATCCATCTGTACACTGTGAATGCACAAAACACATCAAGAATGTACGAACATTCAGTTCAAATATATCCCTGAGATTGTGTCAAATGAGAGCCTGGTCAGCATCGCAGTGTATTTGCAGCATGCCACACCTCTCCAGTGTAGGTGGATCCCGTTAATTTGCAGAATCAAAACATCTCTGACGAGGTTGTTTCAGTCTCTACATGAGAAATCTCAAGCTACAGTCTAAAATCCGGCTCTTGTAAATTAATCTCATTTCCATTTTAGCCATTACCATTATACTAAATGTCAGCCTCAGTCCAGCCTGATGTAGGGTTGTTAGAATATCAATTAGTGGTGATTAGTAATAGAGCCTGACTGATATTATCTGCCAATTTTAGCTCATTATTGGTAAATCGGTAGCCTATCTGTATAAATGTCAGCCAATGTAAGAAGTAAGAAATTATCAGTACAGAAATACCAAAAAAAGTCATATTTTATTATAAAAAGTATATCTTATTCCAATTCATGATTTTTTTCTTGGATCTTATGTGATTTATATTTTTCTTTACTGAAATTAATTTAATTTTTTGTTATGTTTACTGTTTAAGATTCACTGTTATTTATGCTGTTACTGTTACATATATTGGCCTCACCTCTATAATAACTAAATGTAAGGGACCTTCATCAAAAAATGTATGTTAAAAACCAAATATTGGTGGATTTATTGTCATCTTTTGTTTTTATATTGGACCCACACTTCTGTACCTCCTCTCTCAACTGTGTAGATTTTCTCTGTTCTGCATGATGCAATGTTATTCGGTGCACATGACAAATAAAATGACGTTGACTTTGATCTAATGTGCCGAATGCTGAACAGTGTTTGGTCCTTTTATCCTTTAATTCACTTGACTCCATCCTTTATCATCACAGCATGGGGGTATTTATCTCTCTCCCCCTCTCTCTCTTTCTCTCTGCAGTAAATACTGGCCTTTGTTCCTGCTCTTCTTCTACATCCTGTCGCCCATCCCTTACTGCATCTCGCGGAGGGTGGTCGACGACACAGACTCGGCCAGTAACGCCTGCAAAGAGCTGGCCATCTTTCTCACGACGGGCATCGTCATTTCAGCCTTCGGCCTGCCCATCGTCTTTGCAAGAGCTGAAGTAGTAAGTTACAGAAGCTTCTTAGTGCATTTTACAGCAAGAAAGTCAAAATGAAGCACAGCAAGACATTATTTAAACTTTGAGCTAAATATCGATTCTACATATCATCATCACAAAACAAAAAATTAAAAATGTAACATCAAAACCATTACTGTCACCTCCTGGAAAAGTGGTTATAGAAAGCATATAGAGAGTACACTATTGCGTTAATACCACCACACATTTATAAACAATCCACCTCCCCCATCATTAAAAACTTCAACTCTTAATCTGTAAGTTTTTCAGTTTTTCCTTTTTGATTAAATTTCAACACTTCGAGAACTTGTAAAGCTCAAAATAAGTGCTTCACTTCCTGTGTTAGTTCTGGTGAAGCACGCCTACTTTTTTAAAACAGTCTTTCCTCATGTCCTGTCTTACTCAGACATCCTGTTTTGACAAGAGCTTAATTTAGTCTAAAGAGCCAAGACAACATCTGAGGCAAAGTGTGAACGTTGGTTCCAGCAGCAGACAAGTCTGATGCGGTCGTTTGGTTCATACGGCGCATGCAAATACACTAATTTGACAAGCAAGAACATTATGAGAAAAAAGTCAAACAAAACCAGTGAGGCAATTAGTAAAAATTACTTTAAAAAAATATGTTTGCCTATATAGCCGAGGAGCTGACAGATGCACCAGCTGCAGCCAAGGACATGATCAGGATTTAGCTGCTGCCTCCTGCTGCATGTACTGAATATACAACAGTAGAGCACTGTGTGGGAATGATTCTGTGAACTGTTGTTGTTGACACCCACTTGATTTTTGGCCTAAATATGTGCTGCAGCCTGGCAGCACGCAGCAGCATTTGTTAACCTGAATTAATAATGTGTTGGTTTACAGATCGCCTGGGGAGCGTGTGCGCTCGTGCTAACGGGTAACATAGTCATCTTCGGGACTATCCTGGGCTTCTTCCTGGTCTTTGGATCCAACGACGACTTTAGTTGGCAGCAGTGGTAAAACAGCGGAGGGAAGGGGACCTTAGTCTGAACTGTTTTTATTAGCGTTACGATTATTATTATTATTATTATTATGATATTACTGTTTGGTTTTTGTTGTTGTTATTTATATGATGACCACCCATCCATAGACTCACACCAAACCAGTGCAATACTTTCTTTTTCTTTTTTTTACCACCTGCATCATATTGAACAGACACAAGTGGGATGGAAAATGCTGACTTTCAGTTGGATTTTTATTAATTTTAGTAATGCTCTCTCTGACTTGTGGTTGTGGGTTTTCTCCATTTGTGCCCGCTTTCGTTCTGAGCGTTCTAAGCTGGTGAGCGCCTGTGAACAACTGCTTGTGTTATTTGTGAAAAGCCCTGGATGAAGCTTTCTTTATACTAAGGGCACAGATGGGTGTGCATTTCCACTCCATGCGCTGTGTTGAGTGAAAATCAGCTGAAAATCTTCACAGTACAAGCTCATATTTCACCTCTTATGATAAGAAAAAGCTCTATTTCCATTTGGTACAAGTTATTTTGATTGAAACTGTCTTTCTTTAGGTTTCTGCTATTGTCATGCTATCATTGCTAAGCTGTGAGAGCAAACAACTCTAGAAGATCAGATGCGTTTGTGAAAGAACTGGGGTGTTACAACCCTAACTCATCTTTCAAACCCTGTTATATGTGTTGATTTGATTTAAAATCAGTCTTTTCAGCAGCATGTTCTTTCTTTCTGTTTGGAGCATGTTGGAAATAAGTGTTTACACTTTAACATGTTATCCTTTGGATTTTGTTACATCTGCAGCAGTCCATAAAAAAATCACACGTCATCACACAAACTAAGGAGACGATGTTCAGGAGTGCTTGTTTCCTCTGAACCCTGAGGAGAGGATTCATTCACCATTACTGCAGAGATCAAATTAAACTGACTTGATGATTTCCCAGGTGCCAACTGGATGTAGGCTGCTTATTCACATTTACTGTGCACACGATCGCTCTTACCTCTCTCAAAGTATGGGTAAGCCTGGCCTATTAACGTCAAGAAAGCATGAAAAGCCTATAGTAGCCGCCAGCTAGCGTAGGATTAGCATGCGGACAGCAGCCTTCTTGGAATCTCAGCCAAGCTAAGAACTGGGCTATTTATAATAAAGGCCAAGTCAGTAACAAAGCTTTTAAATTTGACTCCTTTAAAGTAAAAGCATCTTACACCTAATGTTAATGTATTTCTCTCTTTTCTCCTACACCAGCATCTTCATGATGAAAACACTTTTTTATGTTTTATGATTTGTTTTGGTTTTAAGTGTTTCTCTGTTCTCCGGACAATTGAGGACTGTTGATGTAAGCTGTTGTGTTGGCAGCTTTGGGATCAGAACAGCCTGCAGTCAGTCAGGTGCAGCACATGTATTAGTGGTAGCTAAAAAAGGAAGTTAGCATCTGCTGCCTTGTTGAAGCACTGGTGTGTTGAAAGGATGGTTGAGTGTCGAACATTTCCTTTTCTGATGTTGGTTTTGTTGCTGTTGTTTTTGTTTTTGTGGATGGCTCAGTTTGAATATGTGCTCTCTGGAAGATTAAAAACTAGATTTTTTTTAATGACACTGAAGTAGCATAATAAAGTTATAATTGTGTCCCATGATTCCAAGTTTTGCTGTGTGTTAAAGGCCAGCCCAAAGGTACGTTTACCATGGATTACCATGCACCGTAGATTTCCAGTGAAACTTTTAACGCTTAATTAAATTAAGAATTTTTTTCTTATTTTTAAAACTTGACCACTTATTTAAGGAATAATTCAACATTCACTTTTCTTTCAAGAGTTAGATGAGAGGATTGATACCACTCCACATGGTAATGGAGCCAGACACAAGATATGATTAGCCTAGCTTAGCATAAAGAGTGGAAGCAAGGAGTAAACATGTTATGTTTGTTTAATCCAGCTGTATTGTGCTTATTTGCCAAGATGGTGAACTAGTCAAGTCACATTAAAAGCTACAATTTCTAAAGAAGAACAAAAAAATTAAACCCTTATTTAGACCACAATTCTTATGGTATTTCTTTCACACTCTGGGAAGAGAAAAGCATTGGAAATCTGCCTCAGGAACCCATGACTAAAAATACTGACACCTGGGTTCTGGCACTACAAATTGGCATTAACACTTCAAACACACTGTAATATCGTTAATAGTACCTTTCTTGTCTGTTGTGCGACTCTTCCAGAGATCACAACCTCAGTAAAGGCATTGATTGTATTAAAAGCACCATTATGTTGGCAGCTGATGACAGAAAACTGACATGATTTGTGCATATTATTATGTAACACCGCTTTGAATCTGTTTTAACATGCTATCAACAGTAGATTCACCCACTGGTGGTAGTCTGTAAGCCAGTCTATGGTTGGACAAGCAGGGTAACTCCATATTGTGTTCCTAAGACGTGAACGTCTGTAATACACTGTATGTATTTTAAGCTCAGTTTCTCAAATGTTCTCTAACCGTCTGTTTTGTAGTCTGATGTTAACTCCCTGATGTGACAGAATCTGGTGTGTAGCTGTGGGACGGGTTTCTCTTGTGTTTCTGTTTTGAGAGAGATTTTATGCTTTTTTTTCTCACAGATTTGGGAGGATATTTTATTTATTTATTTTATCACATAATGCTTTGTGTCAATGTCCAACGCCATTTTCCGTCCACCACTTTTGTGTTAAAGAGGCTGAAGTCAGCATGGTGGTTTTCTTTTTTAATAAATGCCATTTTTGAACATCCTCTCCTTTGAATGACTACAAATGCATTTGCTTTGCCCACAAGACTGGATCTGATAGGCATAGGCTCCCTCTTTTTACAAGACATCACAGGAAATAAGCTCAACTGATATCATCTGCATGGCCTAGTTAGTCTGCCCTATTGTTGAGCAGCACTCAGTGCCCTCAGGAGAATCAGCCCATTACTAGACAGAAAAGCAGAGTTACAACATCTCATTTACACACAAGTATTCAGACCATTTTCTATAAATTGAACTCGTCCTGTTTGCTTTGTTCTTTCTTATAACTCTGTAGATTGATGGCCAATAAAAGTAGCCTACATTAAACAATCTTAAATGAAGTGTGCAAAAAGTGAAGAGGTCTAAATACTTCCCAAAGCCAGGGTGAGCGACAGCTTAAAACTCTCGACAGTTAACGTCATGTTCGATGAAATATAATAACACAGGAGTGATGTTTAAAAACAGAAAGACTTTGCTAGATTTACTTCAGCAAAGTTAACCAGATAACCCAGTTAACCTACCTTTTGAAACAGAACCCTATGCATGTCTTTTAACCAAGCGGCAGCCTCCGGTTCTCAAAAATGAGGCCAAACCGGATGTAACAGAAACTGCAATTCATCGAGTGGCCACTTGAGGCTGATAAACATGTTTACAGCCAGGTTAAAAAAATGGTTTTAGTGTATATAACTCAGTTCTTCCTTCATGACATCTGTGAGGGGGGACATTTTATTACACCAGTTTAAATTATATTAAGCCTTAAAGCTCTGGATTATGAGGGGCGTGGATGCTTTGAGTGACAGGTGGGTTCCGCCACTGTCACTGCTAGCAGTCAGCCTTTCCTCTGTTAGCCTCACTCATCTGATACAGTCGCAGAGCTCAGCATCTCTGCCGTGTTTGTGCCTTTGGAGATTTCTTCATGCAAATACCGGATGAATAATGGCCTGCTGTCCTGTGCTCCAGTTGGTGAGTGAAATTCTATTATTTTGTTTATGTGATAGCAATAATTAGCAGGTATCAATGTCTGCATACATATCTTGTTAGCTTAGCTTGTTAAGCTAATTAGCCAGCTACGAGCGGCCCCAAGCTCTGCTAAAGATGCTAAGTTAATGAGAGTGTATGTTATCTGCATACCTGAAGATAGGTAGCTGTTGTGTTGTCAAGTTCACCTTGAGATATAAATGTTCTTGTGTCTCAAGACAGCTCTGTAGAAGAGCAAAATATTGTCCCATTTGTTACCAAGAATATGTACATTATACATACATTTATTCTGACGCTTTTATCCAAAGCGACTTACAATTGCTATATATGTCAGAGGTCGCACGCCTCTGGAGCAACTAGGGGTTAAGTGTCTTGCTCAGGGACACATTGGTGTTTTCACAGTGGATTCAAACGCGGGTCTCTCACACCAAAGGCATGTGTCTTATCCACTGCGCCATCACCACTCCCATGTAATGGCATTACTACAAGTTACCACTGACGTCTAACTTGCTTTTTCATACTTGCACTAGTTTATGTGGTCAGGGGTTTCACCTATGGGGTCAATGTATAGCGCTCCTTTCGCAATAAATGTGAAGTCATGTAACATTAAATCATCATGCTAAAGTACCACACAAAAGTTTGAACATGGTTCAATAACTTGCTTTATGGTGTATGTAAATTTATTGTGTCTTTCTAAATGATGACATTTCTTTAGTTGAGGAGAAATAAAGACAAAACCCATGAAAAGAGATAAAAAGGACTTAGAAGTGAAGGTGTTGAAGTGGACCTGTTCATTCAAACAAAAATGTGCTGAATTTGTGTCTGTGTTTGTGGAGACTGCTGTGCAATGGTTTCAATAAGAGAAAACACATCTATGGTCTCCTGCCACTCTCTGTCTTCCATCCTTTTACTCTGTTGGATCACTGTTCTGACCAGCAGCTGACATCCACTTTGACCGCCCTGAGAAATGCACTGTTTTTGTCATAAGATTTTGACTTTCACTTTGTGTCATGACCATCACAAGCAGCAGCACATGAAGAACTAATTGGCTGATAACTACTTAAAAAAACAAATTGTGGTCGCAAAGCTGTTACAAAGCAAGTTACCCATTGGCAATTACTTTTTTTTATTTTTCAAGAATGATTCTTGCAATTTCTTGCGTTGGATAAAAGCATCACCAAAGTAAAAGTAATGTAGAATTTATTTTGTCTACCTTTGCCCTGTAAGTTACCATCAAAAGCAAAGGGAAGCTTTAGAAAATGCTTATTGCAACTTCTGCCACGGGCAGTATTGTAAAAATTATATTCTTGCACTGCTGAGAACCGCTCGATTATTTTCATGCTAAACATGTTGAGGCTACAGAAAGATGTGCAGGGTGCTTTTGTTCTGAAATGCCTCGCCCGAAAGTACAAGTTCTCTTTCCGGTTCGTGCGTGTGTAAAAGTGAAACAGCTCAGTGATAACAGCGGTGCACAGGCTCACTAAACTACCTGCAAGTACAACACTTTATAATCAGTGCATAAACGTATGTGCTTTGTTTGTCTTTAGATGACATGTAAATTGTACAATATATTCGAAATGCGTATTTTGTTGACGGAAGCTAAATTAATCTAGTAGCTTGCTACCTGGCTATAGCCTAAATTAGGCCTATATTATCGACAATTATCATCTAACGCTTATGAGTTTCTGTGCATGTGTGTGTTAGCTGCTGCTGGGTAAATGAACTGTACTGTTAAGTGTTTCGTGTATTTTGTCCCTCCCCTGTAACGTTAGTTGTAATGTTCCTCATTGTGGTTGTGAGTAGACAGTCCTGACACTGATGCAGTTAAAAACAAAACATCTTCATTTAATTGAGTGTAGGTGTTTCAGACAAATATAATGTTTGAAATGTGACTTTCTATTATTTCCATCTATTTATAGACTGATGAGGACACAGTGTCTGCAGTGATCTCCCCCTTCACTCTGCAATTCAGTGGACAAAATAAGGGAAACTCCACATGATTCAACTTCAAAGTAATTAAATCAAAGCTGCTGAGGCAGTTAAGTTATTTGCCTGACTGACAGTTGAAATTGTCTGTCTGCCAGCTTCAGAAGAGACAGTCAACGCCTCCACTTTTAGTATGAGTGAGTTAACAGACTTCGAGAGAGGCCAAATAGTCGGTGCCCAGCTTTCAGGTTTGTCTGTCAGAAAAACTGCCCAGTTATGTGGTGTATCAAGTGGAACTGTCCTCGAAGTCATGAGTGCTTATAACAAACACCGACATACTGCATCAGCAAAGAAGAACAGTAAGCACGAGCCACAGACGAAAAGGACAAGGCCGACAAAAGCTGGTGCTAATGGAGGAGCTGCCAGTGGGAAACCAGTATCTGACTCTGACGTTGACACACACAACCCCGATGAAGAGAGCAAAGACAAGGAGTAATTTGAGCTGTATTTCAGACTTTCTGTTACATTTAGACTGGTTAATGTTTGCATAAAGTCACAGGATACCTTCATTTAAACCACAATTTTAATTCCTTTTAAATATTTTTTTACATTTTAATAATTTTTGGGAAGGCTTCAGAATGGGCAGAAAATTATTTTTTATAAGCTTAATACCTTTAGTTCAATTTAAACCAGTGGGAGAGAAATGTCCTTACTGTACATTCCTATTTTGAAAGCAGAGAGTTTTCACCTATGTGCAGGCAGTAAGCAGTGTTTTACACTGACATTTGCATGCTAGTTGCAATCCACTAAGGTCCATGTACTGGTATTTGTTTATGGATTTCTAAAAGATGAGACATTCCATTTAGTTGAGGAGAAATAAAGACAAAACCCCTGAAAAGAGATAAAAAGGACTTAGAAGTGAAGGTGTTGAAGTGGACCTGTTCATTCAAACAAAAATGTGCTGAATTTGTGTCTGTGTTTGTGGAGACTGCTGTGCAATGGTTTCAATAAGAGAAAATACATCTATGGTCTCCTGCCACTCTCTGTCTTCCATCCTTTTAATCTGTTGGATCACTGTTCTGACCAGCAGCTGACATCCACTTTGACCGCCCTGAGAAATGCACTGTTTTTGTCATAAGATTTTGACTTTCACTTTGTGTCATGACCATCACAAGCAGCAGCAGATGAAGAACTAACTGGCTGATAACTACTTAAAAAACAAATTGTGGTTGCAAAGCTGTTTATTTATAATTCATAAGTTACCCATTGGCGATTGATAATTAATAATTAGTTGCTGCCCTAGTTCGGTTACCTCAGAATAAGTCATTTTTCAAGAATGATTCTTCTGCAATTTCTTGCGTTGGATAAAAGCATCAGCAAAGTAAAAGTAATTTATTTTGTCTACCTTTGGCCTGTACCATCAAAAGCAGAGGGAAGCTTTAGAAAATGCTTATTGCAGCTTGTGCAACGGGCAGTATTGTAAAGATTATATTATTGCATTGCTGGTAACTGCTTGATTATTTTCGTTTCATGCAAAACATTTATTTATTTGAATGAATCCCATATATTAACTTTTCACCCCAGAATTTAGAACAGTGTTTACATCATCATGAGACACCACAAACCTTTAACTGAAACCCAGAGACTGATAAAAAGAAATTGTTTGATGTTAGTGGCTCCCCAGCATCTCTTGGATGATATACTCCTGAGATACATTACTGTCTTTACACAGCATGATTCAAAGAAACGATGTAAACAACAAATCAAAAAAATAAAAAATTCATTTTTAAAAAGTGTGCAAAGTACAAAATACAGTTTTTGTCTAACAGGAGACTGTGAGGAGTAGATGGGCTTTGTCTCCCTCTGCTGGTATCAAAAAATGATTGTAAGTGCCTCAGCAGCAAGATGCAGTGTTGCAATTAGACACAGTCAACACCTTTTTCAGAGAGAGCCAGGTGAGATAACAGCATCTCATTTATAGACCCACTCAGCTCTTCTGTCATCTGTGTGGCCTCTTCTGCCAAGGGGATATCACCAAAACGTTAACTGGCATTTTTTATCACTTTTATTCATTATTTGTTGCACACTAAGCGTAATAATACATAACATTGTGAAGTTCTTATTTGTTTTCTATTATCAAGCTAGCACACAAAGTATTAGTACAGGAGTTCGGAGGATACGGTGCACCATCACAGTACACTAAACCAGTGAAAGTGAGACTTTTGAACTTCATTAAATATTTAGACTCTTTTTATCTGACCGACCTATCACACATATTAAATGGTGATAATGAAAACTCTGGGATATATTACAATCCTTTAAGGGTATTATTATTATTAAATGAATAAATGACATGCAAAGACTGGAAAGCACTTAGCACATATCTCCACCGAGGCGGCACAGTTCTCTTATTTTTTTTATCCTAATGATTGAAAATGGATCCAGATCCAGATCTGCATTACAACACACACAGTAGCAGACAGCGGTGGATCATTTTAGATCCTTTACTGAAGTTAAGTACTAATACCACACTGTAAACGTACTCTTTAACAAGTAAAGGTAAAGTACTCAAATGTCCCCTGTTGGTGTTATACTGTATAATATATATCATTAGATTATTATTTCTCACGCATTAATGTAAAAGCAGAATTTTACTGTTGTAGTTGTTTGACGTGGAGCTCAACTAATGATTATTTTCATCAATATTTTCTCAATTAATCAACTGATTAATTGGTTTTTATATAACCCAGAGCCTAAAGTGACACCTTCATAATGCTTATTTTGTCCAACCAATAGTCCAAATCTCAAAATTATTTAAAAATAATAATAAAAAGCATTAAAATAATTTAAACTCAAATTTTCACATTTGTGAAATTAGATAATAGTTGCCAAATAATTTTCTGTCAATCCACCAATGATTGATTGATGAATTGTTTTAGCACTACTTTAATGTATTTGGAATTATAAAACATGTTTTTGTGTTTTTATGCAAAAATCTTAATTTTAAAGTAACTCAAGCTGTCAGTTACATGTAGTGTAGTAAAAAGAAAAATATGTAGTGCAGTAGAAGTAGAAAGTGGCATTAAAAGAAAAGACTCAAGTAAAGTACCTCAAATTTGTACTTAAGTACAGTACTTGAGTAAATGTACTAAGTTACATTCTACCCATAGTGACTACAATATGTGTATCAGTGAAGTAGTTGCTCATGAGGTTATATTCTACACAAACTAAGACACACCACTGACACCTGAGATTTAAAATACAAGATGTTATTACATGCCAATGGTATTTTCCTCTATTCAATCTGTTATGCAATCCTATATAATAAAAGTACTACCCTGAGGCTGCTGCTGTAAAGACGCTTGCCTGCTAGACACAACATGCCTGACTTACTTTAGCTCTCTCCTGCAGCACTCGTTGCCTTGGGGGAGAATTTTAAAATCTGCACATAGCATCAGATCATACTCTTAATTTGTGCATGAAACAAGTCATAGTTTTCCAAGTTATTCAATCAGAACACATTAAGCCTGAAAATACACAGAGAACACACACACCAACAGCACCCCCAACCTCCGTGTTATGAAAACAGCAGCTTGGATTAATGCTTAAACTTGCCCTCTATAGGTGCGCTCCAGGTCTGAGTCTTCTTTAAGAAAGACTTCACGGACAGGGAGAGTGAAATATTCCAGGAAATGTGCACACCGCGTTCTTTCTGTCCATGTGGGACACACCCACTGTGCCCTAAGGATCATGGGAAGGTGGAAGAAGCTTTAGATTGACAAGTACAGTTCAGACACAGATGAGCATGAGGAGGTTTTTCCAAGCACACAGGGATGAAGACTATAGTCAGATCCAGTATCTGACGGCCAAGTGCACCCGCCTGGCTCATGATAAAGGTAAGTCATGGAGGCCAAGACTTTGACCTCTGAGGATTCAGTTACACATTTACATTTTAGAGCCACTACTAAAGCATGCAGGTTCAGTCTGGTGTTACCTGCCATTATTTCCTTATTGTCGGTTATGTTATTTGTGACTCCTCTAATTGACATTTTTTTAAATTGTTCTTGAGGCACCAATAACTAATTTAGTACTCACATAGGTCTGTGGTATCTAAAAGTTTGTACTTCCCGCTATTTACTGGATTAAAGTTGTGTTTAAATCTGGTTTTGTGCCATAAAATACAGAAAGACTGTACAATAATGGATTATAACTCCACTAGACAAGAAATCAGCTTAGGTTTGAGCACTTACCAATGAAACATGTCTTAAGACATAAAAGCTTTTGAACCATTAATGTAAACCAACGTCTGCTTGGTCCGTGTCTATGAGTTGTGTGCACAGTAATGAAAGGGTAATTTCCTCTCTCTCTGACTGACTGTTTTTAGAGGCCTTAAGAGGTTAGACTGGACAGTATTTGACTAAAGTCAGAAAAATAAACATGCTTTTAAGCAGCAGAAATTTGTTTTTTTTTTTCTTAACCTGTTAGTTTAAAACACATTAGTATGGCATTTGCAGAAAGGGTGAGCCTCGTGCCCTGGCAGGGTTAGTACTTGTGATATATAACACCGAAATTGAAGTTGTGGTGGCTGCAGTGTTGATGCAATGTGATGTCTGCAATTTGAAGTATTTTCAACCTCATCTGTAACAGATTGTACCACCACCACACCTCACGATTTCCAAAGAATTTCACAATCAGTGCACAGTGCTAAACTTCAATGACTAGGTTTGCCAGCTGTAAACCATCAAATTTACAATATGCATATAATACATATTTTAAATTAAAAAGGTCTGCTCTGTCAAGACTTTCTTCATTAAGGGGCACATTTTAGGTATAACAGCAGTATATTTAGTTAAAACCAAACAATAGCACACAATATGGAATAGTATAATAATACTAAGAAGAGATGAGAAAACAGACGCCTAGTAGTAGTGTGGGAACTGTAAGAGAGAAATCTGACCTTTATCAACCTCTGTTGATGACCAGTAGGAGATATAATCATAATAATCACATCTACAGTACGAGATGTGGACAATAAAGGGACATTTGCACATGGGAGATGAGAGCGGCTGTGGAGCAGAGATCCAAAAGAAATGCGTGTAAAAAATATATTAAGACACTTAACTCCCACATGAGCACAGCAATGAGGTGAGGAGGGTGGGAATGTCTTAAAACTCCAATGAGAGGAAAGTTTTTCAATGCCAGAAATGTCAGCAGCTGATATACGACCCTACATTTAAAGTGTTATGGTTTAAAACATTATTTTATGCTGTGGGCAGTAAAAAAATGTTCTTTTTCATTAACTTTCATTAAAACACGTCCAAGTGGCACAGATTCAGCAGATCTTCTGTTTTAATGAAAATCATCTACAGCTTTGGTTCAGCGGTCCAGCCTGACTTTGGTTCTGTTCTCTGTGGCTGCAGCGGTGCTCGACAGGGAGTTCCTGGTGTCCAGAGACAGGGAGAGGAAGCTGCAGAATGAACTGGAGGCTACGACCGCTCAGCTCCTCCACCAGGAGCAGATGAACCTGGAGCTCAGGATGAAGCAGGACCAACTCATTAGCAGGATCCACCAGCAGCAGGTGAACAGAGTATGAATTAGATGTCGATCAGAGGCTGAGCTGCTCTGTGGACAGAAAAAAAGAACTAATCTCATTATTTGATTTAAACTGGGTGGGGTCATTTATATACAGTTATATTAGATCTCAAAGCTGCTGTAATCAATATTTTTATATCAACAATGGATCAAATGTGTACATGAAAGGAGTCTCGAGAAGTCTCCATAGAATTATGACCCAGCTCTGCAGATGCCACTAAGCTGTAAGGAGCATTTTAGCATCTTTCAGCTCATCGTTTTGGTTAGTGACTAGCTGGTGAAGATAGATCGAGATATTCTTCTGAGGAGTTGGTGGAGAGGATAACAGGGTAAAAGAAGAGTAAATATTTGACTGAAATTCTTCAAGTTAACACAAACGCAACTTTAAATGAATGATAATGTTGAATGAATGTGTAAGTAGACAACTGTTTGGCTCTCAAGTTTTATCAAAAGTTTGGAGTAAGATAACGTATGTTAGAGGAGGAGCCACCCAAATATTTGCAGCAGCGGCCCCTCGGCCACAGCCAGTTCTGGGGCCGAGGGGCCCAGAATACTAGTAGTTAAATTTGACCTATAATTTGTAATTGACCCGAACAAATACAAATTATAACAATAGGTAAATTGGATAAAAGAATATTTAAATATAAATACTTCGATTTCAAAAATACAAATGTATTTACCTATTGTATTTAAATAAATTTGGCCCCAGACGAGACCACTGAACAGCAGTGCTGTACACATAGGCCTACAGTAGGATGGCAGAACTTGCCCTACGCCTGTTAGCCAAGCTGTGTGTGTGAGTAGGCTACACATTTCAGCTTATGAATGGTGTTTTGTGTTGTAAGTGTTTGTTGCACATTTTAATTACTAGGGGGCTCCCACTTGAAGCACTGTGGCTCAAGGCCAGACATTTACACCATCATGATGGATGATAGCTTTCCGTCCACAGCCAGAAAATAGAAAAATATTTATAGTCCTTTCCTTAGTTTCAGACAGCCAAAGCTAAGCCCAGTGGTGGACAGAAACAAAGTAGTACTGTACGTAAGTACATAAGGTATTTGTACTGAACTTGGGTATTTTCTCTTCATGCCACTTTCTACTTCTTCACCACATCTCAAATGGAAATATTGTAGCTACGTTTTACTTTATCTGACAGCTTTTTTTTTTTTTTTTTACACACACAAAACGTAGGATGCTTTGATATAAATTAAATTACTTAATAGTTTATAGAAGTCCAGCTAGTAGAACTGTTTTGGTATTTGTAATTTTTTTTAAATTTTATGGTTCCAGCTTCACAAATGTGAAGATTTGCTGCTTTTACTTTTCATAATTGTAATGTATTTTCAATCATTTTGAGGTTTGGACTGACAAAACAAGCATTGTGAAAGTCTCACTTAGGGCCCTGGGTAACTGTGACAACATTTCTCACTATTTTCAGAATTTATTACAATCGATCAATCAGCTAGTGTATTAGCCTATGCTGCTACAGGCTTATGGACTCAAGAGATTAGAAAGACTAACATATTTTTCTTTACTATAAGCTGCATTAAGTGATTCTTTTTAGCAGCTTATGTTCCACCTTTTCACCAGGTAGTCTCTAATGTTGTCTGCCGTTTGGTGCTGGAAAGGTAACTGTTGGTGTACAGTGGGTTTATCAGAGTTTTACTGAAAAAGCTGATTGTTTCTGCTGAAAGTGCTGAGACTAAACCAGTAAGTAAATGTGCCGTGAAACCAGAACTATTAGTTTAAAATGGCTAAAAAGCTCTGTAGAGCTGCAGAGTTAGCTAATAATTCTCTGTGGCTTTGCCACAAAGAGCGACTTCTTTCACCTAATCATGATTCCCAAAACAACATTCAGCTCTTTTTTAATAATTGATAATTAGTCTTGTTAGGAAGTACTTATCTGTCCAACTCAGAGTGAATATTTTAATTTGTGTCATTTCACCTTGTAGTGTTTAACCTCATTACAATCCTATCATTTAAATGCACATAGCCATGACCATACCAGCAGGCCACCTATGCCACAATTACTGAAATTACACTGGAATTAGACTACCAGTAAATGCCAGTGTTAACATACTGTAAATGCAGACGTTTTGGCAGTGGTTACCAACCTTTTGGGTTTTTTTTCCCCTTGACCCAGGTCGCATTGGTATGAGCTTTAATCTGTAAGTAGCTCTTTTGTCAGACTGCTATATTTCAATACTTGCCTGGATCCTAATATCTTTGTAATGATCCCAATAGTTTGGGATTTTCAAAGTTAGATTTTTTCATATATTTAGAAATTGGATGTTTCACCTAATGTGCAAAGTATTTTTTTTTTAGCAGTACCCTGCTTCACATTCATCCTGTTTTAAACTGTTTACTAGGGAGCTTCACGGTAACACATTATTAGCTCTTCTAGAAACCTCAACGGTATTTGTTACAGATTTGGAGACACTCAGTTTGCCATATAGATCTGATACAGCATCAAGTTTAGGCTTGTCACAAACTCGTGCAAGTTATGTTTGGGTATGTTTACCTTTTTATGCATCTGTATTAGATGATATGAAGCTTTTGTAAGTAACAAGCTAATGGTATGTGAATTAATATGGATAGCTTAAAGGCGTGTTCTTATCTCTGAACATGTTTATAGATGAGAATGTGTGTGCAAATGTGTCAGTACCTCCATGTGTTTCCCCTGAAGGACCTGGTTGACTTGCTGCAGCAGCGTGTGGTCTTGCTGGCTGAGGAGAGCTTTAGGGACGGAGAGCTGCTGCACCAGGTCCGCTCAGAGCTGCTGTGTCTGCAGAGCTCTGAGGTGAAGCTGGAGGGCCTGGTGGAGCAATTGCATGCTAAGGCCCAACACAGTGCTGTGGTGGCAGAGAACCTGCAGGCAGAGCTGCACGCTGAGGCCATGTGCAGATCTGCGCTGACGGAGAGCCTGCAGGCAGAGCTGCGCAGGTAGGCCCATAACAAATGTCAGCTCCTCTGCATGAAATCAAGAGCAAACCCATGCAAGCAATCTACTCCCTCACTTTTATTATGTGTTACATATTGCGTCTTGTCATTGATAAGCCACATGCGGAAAGCTAAAATAGTATGTTTTTAGCATTTTGCGTTTTTTGAAAGCAAACCATGGAGAGGTATCTTTGGGTTCTGGACAGTACAGGCAAACTGAAGATGTGACATTTGGCTTTGGTAAGAAAATAATTAATTAATAGTAAAAGTAATTATTAGTTGCAGCCCAGAACTACTTCATAGTTCTGATTTACATTCATTTTATTAACTGAAGAAAATTTTTGATCTTTTCCAGAAGAATTATTTTTTCGTGACAGTTTTGAACTGGTTCACTGTAATGTGTATCCACCTATGTGTACATCAATGGTGATGATACTAAAATGATTAAAAGTTAAAAGTGTAGCACAAACCTACTGTGCTTTAGACGGGACATCTCGGAGGAAATACCTGAAAAAATGATTGTTGTAACCTGTCATACTCTTTGTTTTTCTTACCCATGTTGAATTGTTGATGGTTTGATTTAAACACATTCCTCCATGATCCACCCAGCTGTTAAAACTGAAGAAAATATAAAAAACAATATTAACCCAGATAAGGCCGCGGACTAAGAAAAGAAACACTGAAATTAATAAAAAAAACACTAACATCTGATTACCATCTCCAGCAAACTGAAGCCAAGTGAAGCTGTCAGCGGCTGCTCTGCAAACCCGCAGAGAAGAACCTCATTTCAAACTGTTGCCTCAAGACTGAATAAAAACATTGAGTTCGGACCTGCGATTTTAAGTCAGCAGAAATGCAGTGCTGTGCCTCAATCTGCTGACTTTAAATCCCTGTGGAGAGTTGGCTTAGTGTCAGAAAACGTTATCACATTATGATTCCAGGGATACGGCAGCCCATGAGTCAGCAGATGAAAGGAATCTTAACATTAGCAGAGAGCTGAATATTTACATTTTTACATTTGCCTTAAAATGATTATTGACTTTACATTAAATGCATTGATACAATCGTGGAAATGAATCTCATTAGCTTGTCTGTGAGAGAGTAGCATGGACCACAGAGGGATGAAAATAGAAATCCAGACGAACAGAAAGATCTGTGGAAGAAACACCTGTAAAAACAGAAAAGAATAAGGAACATTATTCCAGTTATGAGCAATCCAAGCACTAAACATTCATATATCACACTTAAATGTAGACTTAAAGTCTTTTAAATTAAAAGTATGTGTGATACTCCTTTCTCTAATTTCTTATAATGACTTTTTTCTTTTTTAAAGTAAAATATTAAAGTAGTAGAAATAATGTCTATTTTATATGAATTAAATTATTTATTTGTACTGCACCACATGAGACAAACATTAATTATTCCAAATAGAAAGCTATACATATATTATCACATATAAATATAATTATATTTGAGATAGGGGATTTTCTTTTAATGATATACAGTGGCGTTAATGTGTGAATATAATCTGCTGTGTTTTTTTGTATTAGTGTAAGAGATCCAATGGATAGAGTTTAAATGTATGTCAGATTGCCAAAATATAAAAATAATTATATAAAGTCAATTAAAGGTCAATTTATTTAATTTATTTATATATTAATGAGTTTTCTGTCTAGCAGCTTACAAACATGATGCACATGCACAGATACAGTCTTTTTGTATTTTTCACCAACAGTAAGACAGTGGAGTTGGAGGAGCTCCAAGAAACCAACAAAACTTTGACAGAGAAGCTGATGGATTTACGCATCGCTCATCAGAAGAAGGTAAGGGAACAAATTTTAGGAGAGAAATATACAGAAATGAATGCAACACGTTCTGTGAGAAACAGGTCAGTTCTTACATTTCTGCCTGCAGGAGCTGGTGAAGCACTAAAGTGTAGCTTCACTAATTAATCTGTGTATTCATGTTTTCTGTCAAATAAATTTATTTAGCCCAATATCGCAAATGACATATTTCCTTAAGGTGCTCTACAGTCTGTAGAGCCTACGACCCTCTGTCCTCACTTTCTTCAGAGCCACCAGACATCAGTATTTGACGTTCAACATTAGAGTTGCAACTATCGATTTTTGTTTCAATTAATTTGCTGATTATTTTCTTTATTAAAGGTAGGGTTATCCAATTCTGGAGAAATCCAGTACCATGACAAATACCATCATATAGACAGCTAGCAGACCGTGAGGAGATTAAATTAGAATTGCTTTCCCTACCTTTAATAGATTTTGTTTGGTCTATAAAATATCATAAAATACTGAAAAATGCTCCTAAACCAAAAGATATTACATTTTACTATTATAGAAGTCTAATAAAACAATCATATAATTATATTTAAGCAGGCTGGAACGAATGAAATAACTCAAAACAATTAATTCACTATGAAAATCACTGCCCTAATTTTTCAACAAATTGTTTAAGATCTATGTTCATTCAGCTCAATACCTAAATAAATTATGGGCCCTGTTTATATCTTTAGGTCTTTTTCACTTACAGATTAACAATGTTGATACGTAGAGCACATTAGTCATTTCTATTTTCAGTGACATGAAGGAAATAATTGGTAGTATAAAGTATAAGCTTGAGGGCTAAAGATAATGCATTGTGCATCATAATCCACATGTGAAATGACTGCTTGTTCTTGTGGGCTGTGTGATTATATACTAATGTGGCGTGATTAATTAATGAGATTGTTCAAACACATTCAACAACAACAAACCAAACATTTAATTTACCCACCAGCATCTAACAGAACAATATAAATGCCTACATTTAGTAACCAGAGGAGATATAAAGAAGTTATGCTCCAAACAAATGTGCTGCTCAGTGGTTGTCCAGCAGATGTCAGGATTGGACATGTTGTTCAACACTGCTTTGGTCTTTTCCTGTTGAGCATAAATAGATAAATAATGGACTTTTAATGGTTTTATACTGAATGTCTCTTTGTCAAGCTTGCAGCCAACTCCTCCAGAAATAATGCAGCACAACATCACACCGCTGCCAGCCCCTCCGAACAGAAATACTGGATTAACAGTGTTTATGCTTTTTCTCAGGCTAGTTAAGGTCAATGTGTCAGCACGCCAGTTAAAGACAGTAAATAACAAGTCTGCTGTTAGATTATGAATAATTAATTACATGAAACATAAAACCTCAAGGTTTGAATTTATGTACTGTGGGCAAACCTTTAATACTACAACCACCCCAGACAACAAGCTAATCCAGATTTTGCTGGCATTAAGTTTGTATTAATGTGTATTGAGTCTGGGCTTTTGTGAAACATTCCTCCACACTGTCAAGATGTTTTATTTACTGGCCCCTGATTCAACCAGTCCATCAAATAGCAGACAATCCAGGTCTACAACTATTTATCCTGTTGGACAGCTGCACATATCCAACACAACAACACAACAGTGAGTCAGCGAAAAACTTAATGAGAACATTTATTTGTGGTGGTAAAGTCAGTGAATTAAGTTCTGGGAGTCGGAGATTAAGTCTGACCCTGATGCATTCGCTCATCTTTCTAGAGTCTGTTCCATCGTCCTCATTAGTTCCTACTATCACATCCTGGAAATAAAATAATGTTGTCTTGTCTCTGAGGTGAGGGAACTGCAGCAGGAAAATGAGGGGAGTCTGGTGAAACTGCAGGAGACAGCAGAGCAGTTTGAGTGGCTCTGTCAGCAACAGCGCTACTGGATGTGTTGTGTCAAGAGGTGGGTATTTTCTCCCTGAACCTCTGGAATTATACGCAGCATCTGATACACAAGAGCAGACATTTAAGGCCCCCACACACAACTTTCCTAACAAGCAACATAAAGACACTGTTAACTGTGGACATCAGAACAGTACTGGTTATTTCACATGACATATTTATGTGTTTGTGTTTTGTCTGTGCTCTTCTCACTTGCTACAATTGGGCATGCACGGCAGGCCTATGCTGAAAAAAAGCTACTGTCAGGTATTTTCACAAAGAAATTAAAATGTAAAGAAATACTTTAAACATTTTGGGAAATTCGCTTACTTACTTTCTTGGTTTCCTGGCAACTTCACAGTGAATCACTGAGCCAGGCTAGCTGTTTTACCATTCATAGTATTTATGCTAAGCTAAGCTAAGCTCTTGTCAGCTAACTTTTGGAAAGAAGTTTTCCATAATGTCAAACTATTCCTGTAACCATTATTAATTTATAAATGAAGATTGATTGCTTCCTAGTAAAGGATCTGCATATCTATATGGGGCTTATATTGCTGCTTCCTTTTAAGTTCGATTAGACACTCACACGCTGTGTTTAGTACATTGTATATAAAAAACAGTTGAGTTTACTGAAATGAAGAGATGCAGAATCAAACACGGTGCAGGGATTTTACAAATGCATTTCATCGTCTAAAATCCTCAGCTGCTCACTGTGCATAAACAAATCTATTTCTATAGATTCAAAGACTGCATGATGAAGGAGAGGGGAGCTCTACAGGTCAGCATGTTGGAAAAGAAGGCTGAGAAGAGTTTACATGATGACAGTCCCACACAGAGCGCCCTCTCTCCCCTGCAGGACACTAAATGCTTTGACAGGTAAAGAAGAACGAACAGTGAGGAATAAAGTAGATCAGACAGACATAGCTCCAACAAACAAAAATATATCACTATGATAAAGCTACACATCTTTGAGAAAACAGCTCTGGAGTGTTTCAAAAACACTCCCACTGGGCATGAAATTAAGAAAACAAAATTCCTCTTCATTTCCCACCGTTTTAATAAATTTCCCACTTACTTTGGCCCACCACTGCATGCTTGCCAGTAACCAATGAATCTACACAGTGTTTACAACACGTCCAACTGACCTTTCTTTTGAAGCAGCAGAACATCGTGGGATGCAGATGCAATGGCTGACCTGAAGTCTCAGGTGGAGAAGTCAAACACGCTGCATGAGGAGCTCTTTAACCGGGTATCACATTCATTTTTCTTTCCATTGTGTTTCTTAATGGTAAGAAGCTCCATGGCTAAAAATTGCAAAGGTCTCATTCTGTTCACAAGCTCTTTGCAATGTCCAGATATCTTGTCGCAGCCTAAATGTCCTGCATAGTCCTTCTACATGTCAGAGTTCACCAGTTCAGGGTTTTGAAAGCTTTGGGTGGGAGGCACGTGCAAACCTCAGGGTTGAAATATTAGAGATTTATTAGGGAGGGCTAATATTCATCTGAGTATGCTTGCCAATCTCCAGAGGAGTTGCTGTACTGTCAGTTTTTCCAGAAATTACAGGTACGTCTTGAACAGGGGAGCTTAAGTGTGTTTTATTGTCTTCTGTAGTTACAAGTAAAGAGGGTTTGAAGGTACCAGTAGGGGTTACTGAAAGCTCTTTGGCAACCACAATGGAGCCATAAGGGTTCAGCACTTCTGACCTTCACAAACCTCTCATATGTAACGTGGGATTGAAATTAAGAGCATTTTCGTTTTCGATTTTTTGGATTATTTCATTTATTGTTTTGTCTAGAAAATGTCAGATAATAGAAATACTGAACAAGTCCCACAGACCAAGAAGATGGATTCATATAGCTTGTTTTATCGGAATTATGATATTCATTATATATGACATATATACTATTTGTCATATATGACAAATAAATGACTAAACTATTAATTCATCCATCGTCAACCGCTTATCCTGCGCACAGGGTCGCGGGGGCTGGAGCCAATTCCAGCTGACATCGGGTGAAAGGCGGGGTTCATCCTGGACAGGTCTCCAATCCATTGCAGCAACCAGTCACACTATTGTTGCTGTGAGGCCACAGAGTCATCCACTGGACCACCGTGCCGCCCCTAAACTATTAATTGATTATCAAAATAGTTGTGATTAAATAATGCAAATAATGTTTGCAACTCTAATGTGAAAGCAAAACAAATAAGAAAATTAAATTGCTTGATTTAACTAGAATCCTTGGATGAACCTTTATTTTAAGAGCAACCACTTCTATATTAAAACACTTGTGGATCAAAGACAACGACTGATCTGAAGACGAAATAGAAGACATCCAAAAAACAGGGCTAATATTCATCTGGGCGGGACTGCCAGTCCCTGCAGGGGTTGTCATACAGCCAGAACTCTGAAACTGGAGTCTCATCTTTGTTTTTGTCTTTTAAAGCTTGCTTGAAAACGTTTATGCAATCATTGGGTAACCGCAGAATGTTCCTTAAAGATCCTAACGAATGAACACTGACAGTATGTTCATAAGCTTTTGATGTGAAAGTCAGTCATGTGTTTGGTACACCCTGACCACCTTCATTAGTCCTTAGAGTTTTTGTGGAGATATATGAACGCCACGTTTCTCCTGAATATCTCCTGATATTAACAATATTTCAAATGACAATGTGAAAGTGTCTCTGGTAGTGATGAACCGACAGAGAGTTATAACCTGAATCTGAGTTTCAGGTTAATCTGTCCAGCCCACATCTGTACTGTTGGCTGAAAAACAAAAGCTCTTTATTAAAATTAGCTGGTGAAGATATAGTGAAGCATTTAGCAGCTAAAGAGACAGATATTTCCCTCAGGAGTTGGTTGAGAACAAAAACAGAGCTAAAACAGAGCGAATCTTGGACTTGGATCTTGGACACAAACACGACACCAGATGGATGCTAATGTTGCTCCATGACTGCTGGATGTGTAAATAAGAGACTTTCCCAACAACTTTACCATATCAGCTTAAAAGGTGATGATAGGTCAGTGCTGTCTTCACAACTTGTTGCCTTTGCAGCCAAGTGGCCATAAGAATCAGTTATTGCAGGTTTTTGTTCAAACAATCAACCAATGCTTTTTCTGTTGAGGACAGCCACCACATTCAAGTCTATTTTACATGTACTGTTCCCACTGGCTACAGTACAGTTGATTTAGATTTTAGAAGGAACGAGTATCTGAAGAGTGATCAGTGCAGTTTTTTGAAATCTCTGGATCGGAAACAAGTTCAGATCTCGAGGGTGAAATATTAGAAATCCAAAACACAGGACTAATATTCATCTGGGAATAGCTGCCAGTCCACAGTGGGCTTGCTGTGGTGCCAGGATTTTCAAAAAACCATTTGAAAGAGCATTGAAGTCTCATCAGGGTTTTTATTTTGTCTGACTTCTGTATATTTTAGCAAGGACATCCAACTCAGTGTTCAGCAGTTTTGCGGAGACAGTCGCGTGTGTCGTTGGAAAAAATTGCCATATCACCACAGACACTAGGGAGCACACAGGCTAGCTATAAATATTCATGAATTATTTTAATTGTGTATTTTAAAATGTGGGAATTTATTTTAAATAATAATAATAATTAACAATGCTACACAACCTGGGTACAAATTAGATTTTAGAAAAAAAGTAATTCCAGTACATTACAACTTGGGTCTTATTTGTGTAGTTTTGCGCAATTCTTTCTATCAGTAATCATAATATTGTACTCAGAAAGATCATTGTGGGGATCGAGAATAGAGCGACATCCAAAAGTCAAAGGATGCAAGACAAGATTCCCTGTAGAATGAGGGATTATTAACAACACGTTGATGTACTCATTTTGGTTTTGCCTAAAAAGATAATGGTAATTATAGCTCAAACTAGAAAAAATAAGTTCCTAGTTGCATGAGTGGATAAATGAATATGCCAGAGAATTATTATCTGAATTCACGGGAAGCTTCTAATCTAAAAAGTAATGACGTTTTGAGAGGGTCATTTGATATGATGTAATAATAGGGGGACCTCATCAGAGAGGGATCATACTGTACCTCTGATATGAGGGTTCATTCATTAATCTTTTAGGGTTAAGGTACATAAGTCCTGTAGGGGCCTTTCGAAATAAGAAAATATCCTCTACCTTCGGAGCGACCATTTAAGTCTTTTGAATTCTCTGGATCAGAGACAAGTGCAAATCTCAGGGGTGAAAAAGAAATTCAAAACACAGAGATTCATCTGAGGACGGCTGCCAGTCCCCTGTGGACTCACAGGGCTGCCAGAACAGGCTGGTGTCTAATCAATTTTTCTGTCTGTCTGCTTTAAAAAGTTAGAGGGCTTTGAGGAACTTTTGATTGCAAAACCATTTTGCAATCAAACAGGAACCCCACAATGTCCCACAAAGAACTCCATCAGGAGGTGTTCACAAATCCTGACAGGACCTCAAACACTTCATCCTCCTTGAGGATTTTTATGGGGAATAACCGAAAAAGTGCTCTTCTCGCTGCTTTGGGATTTTTAAAAGCTCCCACATCTTCAGAGTGACAAGTCCAGTGTTTTAAAGTCTGTGGATAAGAGGACGCCTGACAGACAGAACATAAAGCTGATACACGGATGGCTGCCAGTCCCCAGAGAACCTGCTGTGCTGCCAAAGCCTTGAGAGATCGCTGATACTTTCTGGGCACTGGAGTCACATCAGGCCTTTTCTCTGTCTGTCCATGTGTCTGTTGGCTGCGCACGGCTTCCCCCCAAGCCGTCCGGGTCCTCTTCCAAAGTAGCAGAGAGATGACTAATAATGACTAGAGGGAGGTGATTGCCAATAGCCCCTGTGCTTCATTCCCCTCACCTCTCACAGGCTCTGTGCTGCATTTCTTGAGATAATTATTCTGATTGAGTGCAGATGATGCAGGGTGCTTTTTTTCAGTCCCTGCAGAGCTGAGAGAGGGAGGAAATTTAGCTTCAGGAGCAGGGACTGCCAGAGACATAGAGGAAACAACCATGATAAAACACATTACCAGCTTTGACATGATTTATATCAACTGTAGATTCACACTCTGTAGACATGAGTATTGTTCTTAGATGCTAAAGAGATAAAACAGGGCCATAAGAGTCAAATCCACACCTTACCATATACAGTATAGCTTAAGTATGGTTTTAATGATTTGTAAGTTAAAAGACTTCTATGTTGTAAAACTGGGTTAAGGTTGGTTGAAAAGTGTTTGTTTTGTGTGTAGGTTATAGCTGTTCAAAGTGCATTTAGGAGGAGTTACGACCTATATACTAGTTCACATTCAAACATATTCTTTCTGACTGTACACACTATATTTCTGAGGCAGCAGTACTTGTCATTTAAACACATCTTCTTGCTTCTGAAGCCAAGCCATCTTTTCTTGTATCTCAAGGCTGACTAGTCTAACTGTCCTTAGACCGGAAAGGACGCCTCCATGACCGGGCACTAGTTTGCTGGGGATTCAAGCCTGACTGCCTTCAACATAGATCGATTTTAGTAACTCTGGCCTGTTCCCAAACACTAGAGTGCCAGGGTGGGTTTCACCAACTAGTTTGCAAACACTTGCCTACACCTAACAATGGTGCTAGGAGCCTTCTAAAGCTAAGCCAAGAGCTTGCCTTATTTGTGACCTCAGCACTCACACGTTACTCTGTGATTTGGTCACATAGCTTTCCCAAACCTTAGGCAAAGATAGTTGAAACATTACTACCTACTACCACCAGGATCTTCTTAGGTATTTTCATGATGTTACAGATGTCTATTTTCTGCCTGGAAAGAAAACATTTCCGTGGCCTACTCAGCCTTCTTAACATATGTTCTAGTGAAGCGGAGAAGGGCTAATCAGCACAGTTCTTGTAAAATTTGGTAAAGTTTTTGCATCGATTCACGCTGTACAGATTGCCTAAGGTTACAAATGTTGGTATAACAGAAGTAGCTCACTCAACATTTATTACTTCACATAGCTTTCCTTTAGCAAATCAGTAAATGGATGCAGCTGCCAAAATGCCTTTCACCATGAAAAACAGTGATTTTAGTCCTTGTCTGTACACCTGCTCTGTGGGCAGGATAACTCTTGCATCATGAAGTTAGAACCTACTTTCTAACAATTTAAATATATAGAAACTGATGTGCTGTTTGAACACCCGTTAAAACAACCTAGACATCTAAAAACATGCATTTTTCAGCCAGCATTAAGCCCTGTTTTAAGCCCACTTATTGCTAGATTACCATTACTTACTGGGACATTTTTTCCTGAAGGCATTGTTCTGTCCAAATTTCCGTCTTGCACATACTTAATGTTTATTGTCTTTGGTCATCTTCATTTACAGTTTATTTTTCTGTCCTCAGGCAGGGAGCCCTATCAACAGATACCAAAAACCTCCTTGAGGACACGAGCCTGGATTTGCCTTCTCTTTCTCTTCCCACCTTCTGCAAACCCTGTGTGTGGTTAACTTTGTGGAACACTTTCCAGTCATTGTCAACCAAAAAAAAAAAAACCTACTTGTGAAACCATACAGTTACCGTTTTTCTTCCACTATTGTTCACCTGTCTTGAAAAGAATGTGCTTCATGATATATCACTGAATTAAACGGTACAGTGTACTCCTGTCCTCCTTTTGCTGTGACACATGCACATCACATGTGCCCAAAGGTCCTATAGTAACATTTTCTTGTAATTGTCCATTATTCAGACCTTGTAATCAACACCACTAACAAAAGCAAAAACACCTGAGAATGTTCTCTTTTGTTGTTTTGCCAATTAATCCTCACAGGGGAAGCAGCAGCTGGTGCGCAGAGGAAACAACAAGCGTGTTGTTTAGACCAAAATGAAGCCCTACTGATTGTTCCCCCATTGAGAATCTGGTACATCTTGATCAGGTCTCCTCACTTATCATTTGGCTTTCACTTGTCAGCAAATGGCTTCATCATATGTGAACCATACATATGGTGTACAGGTAACAATTAACAGATGACGCAAATGTTTGGGGAAAGGCATTGGAATCACGGACTATGTCACATTACATTTTAGATGTTTATTCATTATTTTGTGACTATGCACGTTTGGATGTTGTTGCATCCAACAGTGAGTTAGTGAGTTGTGTCATAGACCATCATACTGCCGATCACTTGTGTTCACTTTCCAATGTTGCGCAACATCTTTAACAAAGTAAATACAAGTGACCCAACAGTGTGTGCAATTATTATGTTCTTCTCACATTAAGAAAACAATAAAACATTCTTACTGAAAGCAAAGGCAAAATGTTTACTGCCAACACAATAAATTGTCTTCCTACAGTAATAACCACATGAGTATCTCCTGGCAATGAAAAGCATGAGTAACATTTTCATGGTCATCATCAGCCACTTTAACACACTTTGGTAAGGTCAGAGATATGTTGTTTTCTGTAAATACTCAAAAAAAGTCAACATAGAATTGAAGCACGAAACCGGACGCATTAACTATTTAAATATTTAACAAAACCACAACCTTTTTCCTAACCTCAATCAAAAGTTTTAATAGCTTAAAACTAAGAGCATGTGGGATACAGGATGCAAATTCTAGTCTCAGGTGTCCAAGTCCTGTACGTTGTACCAATGTTAGTAGGAGGCAAGCATTGGATTCTACACTATTTTAAAGCGAGGATCAATACAATGAGAAACGTGAAGTAAATAAACATTCTTTTTTGCTTAGCATGTGCTTTAAAAGCAAATACTTTCCACCCACTCTTGTAAACAGTTTTCCACCCGGGGTTTAGTTCAGCATCTTAGTCATCTACCAAAACACTGAATTTCATTACCTCTCCCTGTGTGATAATGAGGGTGAGGTCCTAAGTTAATCCTAGATATTAAGGTGGGAGTGTACTTAGAATGAAGCTGACTTTGCATTAAAAAGAAACACACTTATTGTTTGTCCATTTACACTCTATGCCAGTTGGGTCACATGCAAATTAAACAAAAAGCTGTAGGGGAATATGAGGATTTAGAAGTGGTTTAATGGGTCATAAAGGTACAAATATCTTCTAACAAACTCAACAACACAGATCCAGTGGTCAACTCTGTCAAAAACTCTGAGGGAGGAAAGGAAATGAAGATGCTTCTCTATAAGGAAACAAATAATGGCCAGATTTAGAGTCTCACTTATTGCTGGTATGTGTAAAAAATGTGAGTAGCTCAGCCACCACCACTGAAATATTTGGCAGGCTCTGGTGTTAGGGGCTTTTACTACTTTGACATTAATATCGATAATTTAAAAAAACCTTATTTGGTGGTGAGAGAAGATTTCTGCACACTTAAGTCAATACAGTGTAATACAATTTGTAGCATCAAACCAAACCATTTTAGAATCCATTACTTATATGAAAATTTTCATGGTGTAAACGTTTTTCCTTGAGGCACTTGTCTGGTGAGATCCAAGGATTTAAGGACTTTGTTAGGTGCAAGTTAGTGATTAATTCTTGTGCCATATTTTACTAAGAATTTCCTTCAACATCAGTTTATTTTCTATGAAATGTCAATCCTCATTTAAATGTGAAATTATATCCATGTTTGTTTTTTGGCCTTTTGGAACTGTATTTCAGGTCATTTTGCTACAAGCTGGGGCATCTCTAGACAGGAACACATTGGAGTCTTGAATTTGGTTCAGTTTTGAGTTCTAGGATGCATCTCCATCAAGTGTCACGCCAGGTGGTCCGTGTGGGTTTGACCCTGAACGAGCATGAACAACATGAGAAAGGAATTTGTGCATTGTGTTAATACTTTCAAGTCGAAACCGAACAGAAGCGAGGTGATGCTGTTCTCAGGCTGCAGGACCCAGCGTTACGTCTTGTCAGAAAGGAGTGGCCCCAGATTTGCGGTGGCGCCCCGGCCACAAGGGACATCAGTGGCAGCAGTGGCAGGCAGCCTGCCCTCTGACTGCCAAGCGCTAAGAGAGTCTGACCTAAATGGGCTGTGAATGGCAGAGGTGTAGCCAGAGATTAACAACGTGTGGCAGCTGGAAACAGGTCGCGTTTGCACACAATAAATACTGTTGCACCCTTCCATGCAGAACGAGACTCAGACATTATAGGTGTTATTAATAGAACAATTATAGGTAAAGGAAGAATAGCATGTTTATGTCCAACCGTCGTCACAGCCAGGGAAAACACATTACAGATATTTAACACCAGGATATAACCATTAAAAAAGTGAGACTTGTTAAAATGGAGACCGGGAGACTTGTATTTCCACGTGTGACTTTTGTCTGTGCACTTGCTTGTACAAACAGATTATGTGGTACAAGCATGTACTATAGGTAACTTATATGGATTATAAATAGCACCACATGGGTTTGGAAAAGGCTCAACTATTGTGAATAGAAAGCGTTTATGAGAGCTGGGTTCCATTTAGAGAAATATCTCTGCTCTCTGAGATGTTCGGCACATAGCTGTTTGCGGTTGGGAGCTTAAACTGAAAGACAAAATGTTAGTAAAACATGGAGTCACGTCTTATTTGCTCCTCCTGGAGATGAGACTTCAACCCAGCTGAGTTAAAAGTTGTTTACTCAAGTGTCCTGCTGTTTGGTTTCATCGGACTGATTACTATGGATGTTTTGGAACTTTTTCCTCCCTCTCGGAGGAAGAGGCAAACTGCTAGGCTGCATGCTAATGTAAAACAGAGTGGGATGATGCGGTTTTCCCTGACACTGTTTGGATGAGTATGTAAATGTTTAACAGTGGCGTGAGTAAACACACACAAGGGTTAGGTGTCGGGATTTTGAGAGGGCCTTGTTTGGCGGCAGAGGTTAGCAGTTATTGGACCATTGCTGCGTACTGCGAGAAACCTAACAGCATTAAGCTTTACGTAAACACAAAGCTATTCTTATCTTAAAGAAACATTGACTTCACATGGAGAGGAATCCTCCCCATAAACAAAATGAATAGCTCAGTCAAGTGAAAATGCAAACCTGGCAATGTGCTAAAGAGGGAGTTCAGGTTTTCTACTTTGTACTTTGGCAGCAACAATAAAGCACACACAGCGCATAATAGGATTTTATGATGTGCGTGCCTCGTTTCATAACAGACATCAGGGTTGGAGCTTTCAATTTGCATTTTTAAAGGTACCATGGTCCAAGTGCTACACACCATACGCTAGGATCACAAAGTAGTCACAAGAATCCGAAGATAACGTAAAGTTTCATTAAACCAAGTACAAAATGCAAAAAGGTAGGCTTAATTGATGAAACTTCAGCAATCCGGTTCCTGCACAACTTGTGGCAGAGGAACTTGTTTTCCTTCTGCAATGTTTGTTTGGATTACAAATAGAGTATTGACTGTCATGCAAGTGCATGATAGTAGTCACCATGTTTGTTGTCTTTGTGGTGGGTGAGTGCATCTTTTTAAAATAAGATGTGAGGGAATGTGACACAAAAGCAGGAATAGCTGTACGTGATGTCTGTTAAAACTTTTCCAATGACTACATGTCGCCATGCGTGTTGATGTTTTCATCTACTTGCTTCCCCTTTCTTCTTGTTGATCCAATTGCTGGGGTGTTTATGAAGGAGGCAAAAGAGGAAATGATCGGCCTGGGCATAGCACAGACCAATGGCGCCGCAGTCGAATCAGCTGCTGATGGAAAATTTTAAGAGGTGCAGGTCCCCAAGGATTTTGACAGACTATGTAGAGCTGGCCCTGGCCTCCGACCGGCTGTTTGACTGGATATTTGTTGGTAGAAGGACGGCAGAATACTCATCGAAACACCAAAGTGTTTGTGTCTTTTGAAGGTAGAAAGAGTTTGACAACTTTGAGCTTTTTAAGGCCATCCTAGGTCACTCTTTCACTGTGAATATGCTAAAATCTGGCTTCCTAGCTGGTTGCCTTCCTTTTGTATAGATTCAATAGGCTCTCTGCAGACAAAAAATGATTGCTGTATGCACCATCTGAGTGGTGTGTTCTTGTTTTGCTATCCAAATGTGAACTAGTGTGAGTATTCTCTCTTTTCTGAGGTCCATTTGGCCGGCGTTCACGTCTTTAAGGAGCATTTATGGGTTTGGACTTTAAAGTAGAAGTTTGTGGATTAAGCATGCAGAGCTGTGAGGAAAACTGTTTAAGAGTAAGGGAATGAATGTAGACAATAAAGGCCCTCCCAACTGTAGTATTGCAAACCTGTGTGTAGCTGTATGTTTCTATTTGCATGCATGTTTTCTTTCTTGACAGTGGCAAGATGTTGACACACCATTGACCCCTGGATGACATGTGGCAGCAGCTTTCTTTACAGGCTATGGGGTGACTGAAGGGTGACTGTGTGTGCATGTATGAGCGTGTGTGTGGCCGTAGCGATGAGCCCCATGCGGAAGCCTCAGCCACCCAGACCATCGAGTGCACAGGTGAAGCACAGCCATGAGGTCGTTCCAGCATCGGCCGGCTGGGAAGAAAAGCCTCCCTTTACTGTCGTGTGAAGCCTAATATCAATGGTCTGGAGGACAGATGTGTTTTATGTTGAGAAATATACTTTCCACTCTATGGAGTGTTTACACTGGCAAGGCATTTTAACTGATATTATAGTGGCCATTTCTCATTATTATTAGATTGTCAATATTGGATTCTTGCTCAGTTTTGATGAATTGCTCTGATGGAGATTTCCAGGATGACCTGCAGACCAGGTGGATGGAGGTGAAAGCTGTAACCTTAATTTGATTTTCAGCTATTAAATCCACTTTTCACGATCTCATTCATGAAGCAGTGATGTAAATGAAGGCACAAAGACAGAAAGTTTTTCTTTATACCCTGAGACACATAAATTGTGAAAAAGAGGGTCAAAATTCGACTATTCAGTACACGTCATGGACTGTAGGATTTATATAAATACTATACTGTATATGAAACGTGTACACATTGACAGTACAAATCCAGACAAATTCTAATATTTAGTGCACTTATTTGTTTTTTTACCCGGAGGAAATTGGACATTCAAGTGTATGGAGAGCCGAAGTCCTGACATCGAGTCGAGTCTGGCCTCTGCTACACTTGCTTCTGTTACGCAAGAAAAAGCAAATCAGCATCCATTGCAGCAGCTGCTATTAGAAGTTGAAACCTTTGTGATTTTAACAAAGTGAAAAACAACGATTACTTTGTGAGCGCAGAAAAAGCCTGCAGCTCCCATGAAGAATTACTGGTGTCGCAGCGAGGGTACTTATGTCATTGTAACTTAG